GCTTATTTATCCTTGTTAATATGAATATCACCTTCTTTCTCCGGAATCTAGGAAGTAAATAATGATCCTCAGAAGGATTCTGCTGCATAAGGATGTACTCAAGTAGCTGGATTTTGTATTAGAAATGAGAAGTTTAATATGTGCTTAGAATGCCTAGAACATCATTAAAGGAGCCCTTGTAAAAGAGAGAGAAAGGGAAGGGAGAGAGAGAGAGGGAAGGATGGAGAGAGAGAGGGAAGGATGGAGAGAGAGAAACTATCATTGAGTGTCAATCTGTTTCTATCTCCATGTGCTCTCCATGTCCTAGGAGCTTGTTTAGCTCATGACGTCTCTCTGTAGGTCCACATGCTAGTCATTAGAGTGAAACTCCTCACCAGCCTGCCTTTCTATTGTGTTCTTCATGCTGGTTGTAGTGAGGCCCCCACCCTTATGTCTAGAGCATCTTGTAAGACATGCTCTGCTTGATGAGCTATAGTTTAATCCAAACAGACAGTAAAGACCCTGGGGGGTTTCTCATTCCTTTCATTCTGGGGTGGTCATTTTTATTACTGCAAACACATGTTTGCAAAATGCGTATTATAGCAAATCTGCTATGGCTTGAGGGCTTTGCATACTTCCTCTCTTTCTTAGGCAGACATTGTCTTGGTACACTTTTGGTATCATGCAAAGGAAAACATAAAGAATAATCTTCTAAGTACTTTAAAATGTTTGGATGTGTGGATTTGTCATGACAGATCATCCCAATACTCTGAATTATCCTCAGATATGACAAACCATCAGGGGGCTATGCATTTGACAAAATTGCCTTGACATCTCAATTAGGAAGAGTTTGGATTTTTATCCTAGATTCTGAGTCATAGGTAAATATTAGAATTGACCCTGTTCTATTGCTACATGACACTGATAAGTTGGTCTCCTAAAAGAGTAAAAGTCTTGTAAGAAGAGTAAATTCTAAAATCAGAACTAGTTTTTCTCATCCGAAATGAGACTTGAGAAATACTCTGTCGACAAATAGACATGAAATTATGCAAACCATCTTACGTGTGTTCAAGAGAAGAAAAAGGTAAAAATCATGTGGAAGATAAGAATGTAGATTTATTTAAAACCTGAAAAAAATCATCTAAGTGATGTATCTTCCTAAGAATATAGAAGATACAGTTGAACATATTTTATATGGAGCTATTAGCATTGCACAGATAGCCACAGATATTTAAAGCCTGAATTATATTTCATAAAATATGTTATTAGTTTGCTAGGACTACTCTGTCAAATGCCACAGGTTGGGTGGCTCCAACAATAAAAGAATATCTCTTACAGTCTCAGAAGCCAGAAGTGCATAATTATGGTATTGGGAGCTTTTCCTTCTTCTGAGACTACTTGTAGGCTTGATATTTGCTCTCTTTGTTGTGTTCTCACATGATGTTTTTTTCTGTGCAGGTGCATATCTGTGCTCTAATCTCTTATAGGCAATCTCTTTTTATAAATCTTACTGAATTAAGGCTCACCTGTGTCATCTAACGTTCTGCCTTACTTACCTCTTTAAAGGTTGGCTTCCAAACATAGCTGCATTCTGAAACAGTGCTTCAGCATAGGAATTCAATATATGAATTTGGAAAGAAACACAATTCTACCTATAACAGTATCCCTCAGACATATTTAATCACAAACTACCTTTTCCACATTAAGGTCTTTCCATGATAATAAACTTCCTCTAAAATAATGTGTTTAATGGATGCAAACCATTACATGTATATATGCAACCAATTAAGTTGAAACACTTCTATTTTGCCTTCCTCTTTCAGTGGTATTAATGAACAATATCATCAACAATGAGATCTTTTAAACAATGCTTCAATGAGTAATTTTGTGTGATGACCCACCCTCCCCCCCCCCCCAAAAAAAAAGAAAGAACATAAAATGTGAAATTGTTAGGACCAGGTCAAAATTAATACAGCATTGATTAGATGAAGGAAGAAGCAAATTTAACTGGGCCCAACAAGTTCCAGGTAAACAGAGAAATATAGTTACAGACCCTGGGAATAGAACAAGACTGTGGTCTAACACTTACTGAAACTTGACCATTTGTTAATTAAGAATAGGGCCAAATGTTAAATTTCAAAGATAAAGGCTTCAGTAGAGAGTGAAGTGCAAGAGGATGCTGGGCTAGGCATCTGCATTTCTAAGGATGGCTTGTCTCACCTCCAAGATATTTGGGGGGCTAATCCATGCTTTCTACCACTTGGGGAGGTCCTGAGGGACCTGGAGCTGAGTAAACAGCTCCCATCTCCAGCCTAGGCACCAGGATATTGACTAGAAATTATCTAGGATCAGCCACCTTACTTTGCTTTGATGACTTATTGCCTTGGTTACTGGAATTGCAATCCCCATTTGTTCTGCTTTTGTAACTTTCTTGTCTGTTATGAAACTGCTGCTGACCACTTGTCAGTGGCCCCCTTATGGATCTTGCCTTTAAATACCCTGAGCTATTTGACTTCACTGCTGGTCTTCACTGTCTTGATATAGTGGAGGTCAGTCACCCTGGCTATTAAAAGATTCCTAGCCCAACTGACTGAGTGTTGGTGACTTCTTTCACTGATTGTGGGTTCGAGTCACACCGGGCCCAGGAAGTTGGGATACTTCATTTGTAATGTCTTTTCCCATGAGTCTAGTTATTTTCATACTTTAATCTGGAAATGGAACTACTAAGATAAACAAGAAACAGGTTTTAATATGGTTTGTCTGATGACCAAAAGATTGCAACAATTACACCCATATGGGTAGCATACAACAGTTCTCATTTCTTATCTGAAATTTCACCTTTATTATCAGCTAAAATCATTAATCATTTGCTTTTATTGCTTGAATTTGAATTTCTTTAATTTCTAGTACATTGCATTCTTTGTTCATAAGTTTATTCATCCTTCCTGTTTCTTTGTTGTTTTTCTGATCATTCTAATGTCTACATCTTCTATGATTTCCAATTTTATGTTTAATCCTTTTTCTATAATTTATTCTATTTTGTTTAAATTTGGATAAAATAGTGCATATTATATAATCTGTTTTTTGTAATAAAGCTGTTATATATTTGGGGGCTTTGATTTCTATTTTTCATGCATATAAGTAAATACATATACATATGTATATATTATATATATTTCTATATCTATATATATTTGTGTGTCGTAGTGGTATTTGAATGCAGGGGTGTGAGCTTTTCAGGCATATTCTTACCATTCTTTACATCCTTGTATTATATATTTTCAAGCATTTATTCTTGTGTGTTTCATATTAGATAAGAATTTTCTAACCACTGGGTTAATTTTCCTTACAAAATTATGTTTTATTTCCTTATGCCAAGTATTTATGGAGAAGAAGGATTGGATTGAAGTTCATTCTTTTCCCCTTGGCATTCAAATTAGAATTTCTTAAAATCTTGTTCTTTCATTTTTATGCTAGCTTTTTAGGTACTTTTGTAATTACCTACAGAGCCTATAAGTGGTGGAGCAAAAGGTTATTGACATTTATTTGAGTAAATATGTTTTCAGTTATAGAAATGGCTTTAATTTTATTCTTTTCTTAAACATTACTTGTAATCGATTCCACTTTTCTGTTAGGGGAGACTATTTCAAGTAACTAAGATCAAATATCTGATGTTAATATATTGTACAATATTCATAGTTGCAAGAAAATTCTTTGATGTTAACATAATTTTAGCTCCGCTTGATTTTTAAAGACAAATCATTCTATTGGTTTCTTTTTTGAAATATATTTTATTATCTTTTTTTTTGTTGGTCATGGGGCTTGAACTCTGGACCTGTCTGTTGTCCCCCAGCTCTTCAGCTCAAGGTGAGCACTCTGCCACTTGAGCTACAGCACCACTTCCAATTTCCTGGTGGTTTATTGGAGATAAGAGTTTCAAGGACTTTTCTGCCTGGGCTGGCTTTGAACCAAGATCCTCAGATCTCAGCCTCCTGAGTAGCTAGGATTACAGGCGTGAGCCATCAGTGCACAGCTGTTTTATTATCTTTAAGTAGTTGTACAAAGGAGTTGCCATTCAACAAACCAGTCTATGAATACAATGCATCTGGATAAATCCCACCCCTTTCAGGGAGGGGGATTGATACAATCTTTTGTTCATAGGCTATTAGCTATGTTCTGTAAATATAATCTTTAAGCAAAATATTCCGCCCGCTCCCCTCCCCACCCCCCCAGCTCATTGCTCTACCTCCTTCCAACCTATAGTTGGGCCAATTCCTGCTTCTCTCGTTTGGAAAAGGACTCCTTTGACCACTCAGCTACAAGTTAGAACACTTCAAGAATCCTTCCACAGCCACAGTGTTGTGCTTCACTCATTTATCACTTTAATTAGCAGTCCCTACTCTCACCACAAGGTCTATGACTACTAAGGCTGCATTCAATTTGTTTCCCATCATAGATCTAGCACTGCAGAATACTTGGCATAAACATGTGATGATAAACAAACAAACCAATGCTGAGCGACTGAGAACAGGGTAATATTTGACAGCAAGCCAAAAGCTGATATCAATTAGATACCTAACTTCACTGTGGGAGGGGCTTATATATGTGTTTAGGTCTAGCATCTGTGGAGGAGTGCTGGGGCCCAAAGATGGGGATCCTATAGACTCTGCTGCTCTGAAGGATGGAATCTGCATGTCATCTGTGAGAAACAGACGCTCTGACCCTGTAAGTGCCAGGAAAGATGCCTGAGGAATCATTCTCTTTACTAGTGTGTCTATGTAGGAAGACACAAACTCTGAGGTTAATGACAGCATCAAGGACAAAGCAATTCTGTACTTGCAGTTGAATATATAGCTTTGGCCTCCTTCAGCATTGCTCATCCTTGGCCTTCCTTTCTGTCAATACCAGACAAAAACACACTTTTATAGATCATTGTTAAGTTTATTTAGGGCCAGGTTTCCATACTGGATGTTATGAGTGACCCTAGATTCTGCTTTTTGTTCCTTTCACTCGCTCTGTAGATTTATGCGTATGTCTTCGAGAACATCAAGTCAGTCCGCCTGGAAGCTGTGCTCTTATCCTCGCTGAGCATTGTGGTCTTGGTGCTTGTCAAAGAGCTGAATGAGCAGTTTAAAAGGAAAATTAAAGTTGTTCTCCCTATCGATTTAGTTTTGGTAAGTATGAGATCAACTTTCTAACTAACTGCCATTGAGTCCTTGGCAGTTGTTGGGGTGATCTGCAGACGCTTACGGTATTGTCTGTATGAACCCACAGCCCCTCCTGTGACTCATTAAAGAAGGGCTAATTTGCGTGGCTATACATTAATGTAAGAACAGGAAACATTGTGAGTCAACAATTTAAAAAGGGAGGCAACACATGTTTTCAATTGATACAGGATTTTTCATGTGCTTTTGATTTTTTGTTAATATAAATAAGATGACAAAGCCTACAATCTCATAAGGAGACATTTCGAAGGGTAAGACTCAGGAGATCTCTGGCATAAGAAAGCAATGAAGTGCGATAGTACAACCCATTGATCTGACACCTAGACAGTGTACATAGAAATACTCTCAATTAAAAAATGACAATGAATGATTGGCATGTCTACTCATGTTTACTGACTTGATTTTACTTTAGTGAAAGGGTGCTCCTGGTTTTCATTAAACAGGACTGGCTCTTTAAAATAATTTTTTGTGTGTTTGTGCATGGAGAAGCCATATATTATATCATACTCCTAAGGCTTATGGCATCATGTATATGTATATGCTTATGTGTATATGTATGCATAAAAATTTAATAGTGTTTAATGGGGACTTAACAAAACATTACATTGAAAAACAAAAAAATTAACACAATCATGATCTACTAATGTACCATTTTACTGGATTTAGTTATTTTCTTAATGCTTTTTGGATTATGCATACGTACTATAAATGGTGTCTGAATGATTCTGTCTGTTGAAATATCCCTTTACAATGCTGGTATACTATAGGATTTTGTTAATTATTCAAGGTAGCACACTGGAAGCCGCCTCTGAAGGACGTGACTCCCAGAACTCATGGCACAAGTCCCCAGGCAGGCCTTAATACTATAGACAAACAAAGCAGGTCTGTTTTCTACCTTGACTGATACACCATGTATCTAAGTGACGACTTGACAGCCAGGTTGAATAGAGAATTATTCTGCTTCTTTGAGCAGTTGGAATGTTGCAGCCTAAGGAGACCCAACCTCTAGGCTTTCTTCTCTTCCCGCTCCAGGTGTTTCCCTCACAAGTAGATGCATGGGTAAACGTGGATACTCTGTCCCCAGGGTCCAAATGCCAAATATCCCCATACCACCAATGCAACCATCCTGTGCCTTTTCTTGGGCTACTCTGGAAGATGCTCAACAAGCAGCCTGAGAGCCATTTAAACAGGAAATGAGAACCCTAGACATGGAGCACATGGATTAGAAAGAGCAGCACAGATCTGACTTCCTGACCCTACAAAACTTCTGTGGTATGGGGAAGGTTGCAGTTGTAAATGGGCTAGATTGCAGTGCTCTGTAGCACTCGGTGCCTGTTCTGTGTCTTCTCACTCAGGTTCAAAGGCAGAGCTGGCCTTAAACACATACATGTAACAGACATAATGTTGAAGATGGTCCAATCACTCAATGGATAAAGAAAATTTAATTATGTTAAAGAAATACAGCAAGGAAGTAAGACAGTATCTGAAAGACTTAATTCAGTCACTTAGAAAAAAAATACTATTCTATCCTAATATTTATATAATTTTCACAGTATACCTGAATGGTTTTGTTATTTTTCTCTCTCGTTCTTTTACAAATCCTTGAGGACATTTTACTTTTTAAGGTCATGCAATGTTTTAGAAATGTCTGCAAGTTCAGAAATGCTCAGATAGGAAAGAAATTACAAAATGCTTTTATTGGCCATTAATTGTTAGATATTTTTTGTGTTGTTGGTATAGTTTGCTATAGTTTTCTTTGTGGGCATGCATACAGTAATTTTTTTGCTTTATGTAGATAATTAGTTTGTCTTTTAAACTATGGCAAATTGATATCCCGACCGTGTTAAAATTATCAGAGTGAAAAGATAATAAGAAAATAGGTTAAAAAATTAGGATGATGTAGTTGGTAAAACAGGGCTGAACTGCCTTTGGTTTGTGTTTTAAAGATGACTAGACTATGGGTATGGGCAGAGAACCTGTGACTTGCTTATAACCCTCACTAATAGCCTGGTAAGATTTCTGAGACTTCACAGAGGTCATTAAAAATTATAAAACAAAAGGGGAGGAGAAGAGAAGATGGTAAGCAAGATTAGAATAGTTGAATATGACACAACACATGTAACACAACAAATCCCTTTCCTTTGCACAAATAGTATGTACTAGTTTAAAATATTGGATCCAAACCAGGTCATGAACTAGCATGCTTCTACTTCAAGGAAGAGTCATTTTTCAAAATTCAAAAATCTTCAAAGGGGATGGAATCCCCTTTGGGAATAAGAATTCAATATCTCAACCTCTTGAGACATTGTTGTCATATGTATTGCTTTATAAAGCCTCCCTTTGGATTGTGAAAGACAAGTGTTTAGTTTGGACTGTGGGATCTGAACATACACATAAACACACTTACACACAATGTACAATTATATAATCCCGTATTCTGCATTTTGTTTCCCTTCAAAATTGGCCATAACTGTGTTGACATAAGGTATAATAATAGAAGAGCTATTATAATAATAGAAGAGCATCAAATTTTGAGATCATAAATTATATGCTTTCATTTTTATAAATATATTTTTCACAAGACAATATGTTGGAAAAGAACTTTACAAGTTGGGGGGGATGGAAGGGAGGGAAAGTTGGAGAAAAATGAGGGAGGGGGTAACAATGTTCGACAAGAAATGTACTCATTACCTTACGTATATAACTATAACCGCTTTGTACCCCACCTTGACAATTAAATTAAGTTAAAATAATTTTACATAGGAATTGCACAATTGTGTGTGGTACATTATTATGTGCAAATATTGTGTGAGATGTAGTAATCAGATGTGTCATGTCAAATATTTATAATTTCTTTGTATTGGGAACAGTACAAATCCTCTCTGCTAGCTATTTTCAAGTGTAATATTAATCTTTGTCAACCACGGTTATCTCACTGTGCTACAGAACACCAGAACTTATTCTTCTTATCTTACGGTACCTTTGTACATGTTAATCATCTTCTCTCTACCTCATCTTCCTGATTTTCAAGGCTTGTTTACTTATTTGAGACAGGGTCTTAATGTTGGTCTCAAACTCACGTTTCTCCTGCCTCAGCCACCTGAGTTAATGGGATTATAAGTGTGTACCCCCATGCTTGGCTTGCTTTTTTTAATGTTTTACTAATGAATAAAAATACATGTAATGACTACATTCCTCTTGTAATTATGAAGCATAGGATGTTTACTTTGAAATGGTTTTAAGGTACTTAAAAGGCTAGTAATATGTATCTTTTTTCCTTTCCTCAAATGGAACAATACAGATTATCGCTGCATCATTTGCTTGCTATTTTACCAATATGGAAAGCTCATATGGATTAGAAGTCATTGGTCATATTCCCAAAGGGTAATGTAGTTTTTCTTTTCATATATTATTTGTTGGCTAGGGGAGGGGTTGGTTGTTGAGTATGCATTTCATTTCTTTTTGTGCCTGTATGAGAAAATTCTAAGAAATTTCTTTTCTAGATGATAGAATAAAACTTTTTTAAAAAATTTATTTTATTATAAAGATGCTGTACAGAGGAGAATCAAACTTTTCTAGTAACTTTTGAGGCCATAAAAACAAAATGTTTTATATAACAGCACTCCAGGTAAAGAAATTCAGACAATATTTATAAAAATAGAATTTGGAGGGAAAAAAAATTCAAGGGAATTGCATTTGCAAATTAGAGTCATGCTATTGGAATGAGTTTCTCCCGCTCCTCCCCCCACCCATATTCTTGTGCCTATTTCTATTTTATTAAGATCATGGTGAAAGTAGAAACATTTGAACAGCAAGCACCCAGGCCTCAGCGGTGGAATTTAGTAGCAAGAGACGGGGAAGATATTGAGGAGCAAGTGTGCTTACTTTCTAGCCTACAGCCTTCCTCTAGACCTAAGGAGAAATTTAACAACAAAGAAAATGTACACACTAAAAGCACTGTTCGCTCTAAAAGATTGTTCCAAAATTAGACTGAAAAAAAGAAGGTATATTAGGGGGAAAAGGGTGGTTTTCTTTTTTATTATCTCTCTCTTTAATGAGCTGTGTGTACCAGACATCGATACACATAAAGATGGGAGAGCTATTGTTGTTGGGACCTCTATTTAAAAAAAAAATTTTAACCTCATTTGGTTTCTAATGACACTCAAATAGAGGAGCAGTAGACATTTCTCAAGGATTAAAAAAAACAACAACAAATATTAACACCCTCCCCCCACCCCCTCATCGTTACTAGCCTACGTTGGTCTGGGCTAAAGATTATTACCTGAATCAACTGGAATCTTCTAAAGGTGGCTCTGCTTCTCTGTCTTTCAAAGGCAACTTATCATTTTCTTTTCATGCCAATTGCTGTTACTATTAGACACATTCAATTTTCATGAAACAAAAGTTCTTTATACTTAGAAATCGTGGCGGTTTTATGTCTTAAGACCTGTGATCATACAAATCAATAGCTCATGAGGATACACTTCAATAAATGGGTAAAAAGTCATGCCATTCTTCCAATCTCTACTGATTTCCCTTATTTGAAATGACCTTTCTAGAAACACCCTTTTAAAGTATCATAAAAATGAGCAAGGGTTTGAAGAGATGAAGCTGAGACTGAACCTCAGCTGGTTCATTTTGTTTGTGACTTTAACTGATAATGTTTTCTTTCTCCCTAAAGTGGTTATAATGGTGCTTTGTTTGAGGGTTTTGAGGAGAATAAAGAAATAGCTAATAAGAAAAGCCCAGCATGCTATTTACATACAAATATTAAATCAATATGAACTCACTTCCCTTTTTCTTTTAGTTTGCCAGAGAGAATTTTGTTTTGATTTGTTTGTTTTGGTAAATCTCCCAAAGAATCATCAGGAATTCATAAATGAGGACACTCTGGCTTAAGTGGTTTTCAAAGGGCTACAAGACAATGGCTGGGTATTATTTGAAAAATATTTTGGTCATTTCCTTAAAATGGAGCTAAGTGTTGTCATGTATTTTACAATACTGAGTAGATGGAATCTTCCTACATATTTTTTTTCTTAACATGCGTAAACCTTAGTTAAGTGCACTATGAAAGGGTTGAATTAAAAATGTAATTAAGATAAAGAACTCAATGGCAATATTTAGGGATTAGCTCAAGAATCGCAGCCCACAGAAAACTAGTGTGCTCATAGCACTGCAGAATTCAAGGGAGGAAATGCATTCTCCAATGGCAGCCAAATAAATATTTGGAAAGGTTCGAATGAAAGAACATTTCCACATTTGCTTTTGTTTCTGATACAGGAAATTTCTTTCTTTCTTTCCTTCTTTCCTTTCTTTCTTTCCTTCCTTCTTTTCTCTCTCTCTCTCTCCTTCCTTCCTTCCTTCCTTTCTCTCTCTCTCTTTCCTTCCTTCCTTCCTTCCTTCCTTCCTTCCTTCCTTCCTTTCTCTCTCTCTCTTTCCTTCCTTCCTTCCTTCCTTCCTTCCTTCCTTCCTTCCTTCCTTCCTTCCTTCCTTCCTTTCTTTTTTTCTTTCTTTCTCAGAATTTCTGTGGTGTAACCTGAATTCCCTGAGCATAAATGCCAGTTGGATACAGGAGGCTGACCCTGTGGGTGTTTCTTATAATTTTGCTTTCCTGCTAAATAATGTTGAAAATAAAGGGCTTCTGAGGGCAAGACAGTTTGGTTTTCTTGTGGGTGTTTCACATAGCCTGTGTGGACCTCAGAGTCATGACCACAGCTGAGGGCTTTGCAGGCTGTCACAGAAGTTACCTGGAGGCTGGTGACTTCAGCACGGCTGTCTTTCTGCAGGATTCCTCCACCTCAAGCTCCCTCAATGGGCATCCTCTCTGCTGTGGTCACTGAAGCCTTTGGAGTGGCACTTGTGGGCTATGTGGCCTCCCTGGCTCTTGCTCAAGGATCTGCCAAGAAATTCAAATATTCCGTTGATGACAACCAGGTGCGGTATGCCTCTGTTGTAGCACTGTTCTGTGTGCAGTCAGATCCTGATAATAGACTGAACAAAATAGCTTTCCTACCTATGTGGCAGGAATGGATAGAACCCATTGGAAGAAAACTCTTGTTTCTCAAAGAAAGGTGAATAATCAGACATTCAGCCTCTATAAGTGCTTACATTTTAAGGGAGAAAGACACCCCTGATATTCTTTTGGTTTGTTTCTAGGACAGAATCCAAATATATTCATCATTGCAGGGTAAATATAAAAACTTATTTCAAAGCACAGTGCTAGCATTCCTTAGCGTTCTTAGTAAGACATCTAAGAATGTGAAGCATGAGTGCCTGCCTATCAACTAGTGCAGAATATACTTGTTACACATTATACTGCTTTACACTGAAAATTTATAATAGAGATCTGAATATATTTGATATATTTCAGTCTTGCTTTAAGCCCCATGATCCTACAGGGCTAGAGATCTGAGGAAAAGCAAGCATGTGCTGATAATGGATACCAAACTATCTGAGTAATCACCCCATTCTTTTTTTGGGGGGGAGGGGGTCAGGTCGTGGGGCCTGAATTCTGGGCCTGGGCGCTGTCCCTCAGCTCTTCAGCTCAAGGCTAGTGCTCTATCACTTGAGCCACAGCGCCATTTGCACCTTTTTTTCTTTTTGCTTATGTGGTGCTGAGGAATTGAACCCAGGACCTCCTGCATGCAAGGCAAGCGCTCTACCACTGAGCCACCTTCCCACCACCATCACCCCACTCTTGCTCACACTACCTGACCTTATTTGTCAGCATATATCGTTTTTCTTATCTGTAAAGAGTAGATTTTTCAGACTGGAGTGTAGCTCGGTTGCAAAATGCTTGCCTAGCTAGTGCATAAAAGAAAAAAAAGACTTGACTTATCCATTCTGTGGTGTATATTTAGGGTCCTATATGTACTAGATACTGACTTAGGTACAAAGGAAAAAAAAAGTGAGCAACATAGACCATACCTTTCCTCTACTTGAAAATTTATTGTCCCCACTGCCCCTGCCTCCCCCCCCCCCCCCCCGACAATATGATTAAAAGACTCATTTTTTTCAGCTATTCAGAAAACAGAGGAAGGAGAATTCTAGTAAGCCTTCACACCTGGGCAAAAGCAAGAGACCTCATAGAAAATAAGCTGAAAAGCACAAAGGACTGTGGATCATGTCCCAAGTGATAGAGTCTGCTCTGGCAAGTGCAAGGCCCTGAGTTCAATGTTCAATACTGCCAATAGCAATCATCATCACCATCACCATCATCTTCATCATCATCTCATTGTCATAGCTTACAAGGATGTACAGTTCCTACTGTATTTCTTCTCTGACATATCTCTATTATAATATTTTTTAGTGTAAAAACAATTTCACTAACAGGAAACTTTTTTTTTCACTACTCATATATATCTCCTCACTTTCCTTTGCAAGTTATGCTTCTGCCTTAGGACATTTGCATGTACTATTCCTTTGCCAGGAATTTTATTCTCTCAGATATCTCCGTATCTCTTTTATGCTTTCTCACATTGGCCTTCTTTGCCAACCTAAACTCTTCTGTTTGGTGGTGCTGGTGTTTGGACAAGGACCATGTACTTGCTATTTTAGCTTTCTACTACTTGAATAACATTCCAAGTCATTTTTCCTTTAGTTATATTTTGAATCATGTCTCATACTTTTGCCTGGTCTAGCCTAGACCACAGTCCTTCAATTTATTCCTTCTTTGTAGCTATGGTGTCAACCATGCACCAACATGCCAAGCTATGGATTGAAATGAGCTATGGATTGCTAACTTTGATCTCAGGCTGGCTTAGAACTGTGTTTTCCAATCTTTGCCTCTGTAGTTGTTGGGATTATTAGGAGTGAGCTAGCACCACAGGCTAAGCTCTTAAATTCTAGATTTTTCTATTCCCTCCTCTGGTTTATTTTCCATATTTATGTTGTTTATAGTCTTCATTGCTGGAGCAGAACCACATATCCTCTCTCTGATATGATCGTTTGTTTCTGGATGTCATGATGACAAAGAGAAGTGGATGGAAACTGATTGGATGTAGATGTCATCTGGGAAAGAGAGTCATGATAGAGTCCTGATTAATAGAGTCCTGATTAATTCTGAAGTTTTGACTTTAGTAATTGGGATGGCATATGAGGAAGAATTAGGGAGGATCTGGCAGAGATAGTACATATGTGTAACTCAAATTAGAAGGGTGATAAACCTATTAGACACCAAATCCAGATGTTAAGTAAAGAAAAAGAGTTGAATATATAAGTCTGAAGTTTCAAAAGGTGGTCTAAGCTGTTGATATAAATTTGGGCTCTGTCAACATGTATTTGAGAAGCTAGACATGCATATGCAAAGAGAAATGGTTCAATGATTGCAGTTGAGTGTGGTCAGAGAGGTAGTAAAAAACTAGAGAAGTCTGAGGTCATAGAAAGTAAGTAAAATAATCCTTACAATGGAAGAAATGTGTTGGGCATATGTTATTCTAGCTACACAAGAGGCAAAGGCAGGAAGATCAAGAATTGAAGGCCAAAGATCCAGGGGAGTTGCTCAAGTGGTAGAACATTGACTTAGCATGCAAAAGGTCCTGGATTCCATTCCCAGTACTGGAAAAAAAAAAAAAGGAAAAAAATGAGCACCTGTTTTAATGGGGTGTATGTGTGGAAGAGGTAACATTGATCAAGATGCTTTGTGCATATAAATTAACATATTAAATTGAAGTTTTTTATACACCTTTTTAGAACAATTTCATTTTTTATTGAGGGGTTACAGTTAAGTAACTGGTTACCCCATCCCTTATTTTTTCTCCCACTTTCCCTCCCCCTCAACGCCTCCCCCTCAGTTGTACAGGTCATTTCCAACATATTGTTTGTGAGTATCACTATTGCATTGGTTCCCCCTTGGTCCTTTGTCTCACCATTTTGTTGTAGTACAACTTCTTAGAGACAATAAAAAATGAAGAGAGAGAAGACATCAGAGAACTACTTAAATATTTATTTCTTTGTAGGGTAGTTATAAGAATCGAATGCCTCGAGCACTTTAGAACAGTTTCTGTCTCATTGCCAACACTCAGTACATGTGAGATCTTTTTTCATGAAAAAAAATGATAACTCACTACTAGTGAGAAATTAGAAGTCAATCACCTTACAAGTTACAGTTGGTTTGTAAAGTGGACAAGGTACAGTGGATTTGTAAAGGTTGGTTGTGATTTAGAAATGACCTGTCCTGCTCTGTTATTAATCCTGTAGGAATTGTTGGCGCATGGCCTGAGCAATGTGATTTCTTCATTCTGCTTCTGCATACCAAGTGCTGCTGCCATGGGAAGGACGGCTGGCCTGTACAGCACAGGATCAAAGACTCAGGTGACAAATGTCCCTTGTGTGAAAAGTGCATGTGTGAGCTCGCAGAATCATGAAAACATTTCCATCTCTTCCAGTAGTGCTGCACTGCTTCTAGAAAGTCATTCTGTCTCTGTTTCTGTCTCTTTCCCTCACTTCTTTCCCCCTCCTCTACTCCATTCCCTTCCTCCATTCTTCTTTCCCTTTCTCCTTTTCTCCTTCCTTCCTTCTCTCTCTCCATCTCCCCACTGCTTCTGAATGTTCTTCTGGAATCTGACTGATGCAGAGAACAAACACATTCTGTTCAAATGGCAGCTTTATTGTTCAGTAACCTTTGAGACCAATGCGCCCTCTAGTGGTAATTTGGATTTTTTCCCTTTGCGCTAAACAGTCAAGATGACAATTTTCTAGTTTGTGTACTTTCTTTTTTTTTTTTTCTTTTCGTTTTTTTTTTTTAATTTTTATTTTTTTATACTGTACAGAGGGGTTACAATTACATGGGCAAGATAATGCATACATTTCTTACCAAGCATTGCAGCCTCCTCCTTTGTTTACCCTTCACCTCCCTTCCCAGCCTCCCCCCTCCCCCCCACCCAATCCTTCCCCCCTCCCCTCGTGTACTTTCTTTACATAAAATTGACTCTATTATATGCAAAATAAGTCCCTGGCATGGAAATTCCTATGTATAGTGATGAATCAAGATAAAACTGTGGGATACAATGCCTGTGAATATTTTAGATTAAAGAAAGAATTGTTATATAATTCGAGGAAATTAAAATAATTTATTAGGAACCTGCCATAAAGTAGGATGTGGCAAGACTGTTTTCTAGTCTCGGTTGGTTCCTCTGCTGAGGGCTCTTGAGCAATTTTACTTGACATATGGTCAGAGAAGTTTGGACTAGAAACATCCCTGAGATGTTTCTACCCTGAATGTATTCCATCACTGGAGTTTCCTTAGGCATTGACCATACTTTTCTAATTACTAGTTTACTAACAAGGAAACCCCCTGATTAATTTTTGTGACTTTCAACATCAAATGTCTAAAATAAAGAAGGCCTTGAGAAGGTTTCTACTTATTTAAGAAAATCAGAGTTGGTCATAAATGTGTTTAATTAGGAGGCCAGGGAGAAAAGGATGTTCTTTTTTTCCTCTGTCCTAGAGACCACTTATTTGAATAATATAGCAGCAAAAATTCCCCTAAGAACTTTTAATTAATAGAGTCTTTTTCCTGCATAGTATTCTGTTTGCCACACTTTCAAAGAGATGAAAGAAATCTAATAAGACACAAGTTCAGGAAAATACAACTTAGGTCACAGGATATTTTCAAGATAGAATTATGTTGATTAGGATGATCATTAATATAATAATTCCTATTAAGATGCCCAAGAAGAAAATCTGATTTCAGCAGTGCTTTCCCATTGTTAGACGTTTAGACCCTTCACATTACCGGTATTAAGTTTATGTGGGTATCAGTGATAGCTGACATGGTTTGAAGAGAGCCAACAATTTAAAGCCTTGCTATAAATAGACTTTTTTGTAAAAAAAATGTTTCTTTTAAAAGTTATTTATTGTTATTGTAAAGGTGATGCACAGAAGGGTTACAGTTACATAAATAAGATAAAGAGTATGTTTCTTTGGGAACAATGTCACCCCTCCCTTATTTTCTCCCAGTTTTTCACCACCTACAAGTTGTAGAGTTCAAGTGTCCATGAGTACCACTGCTGTATTTGTTCAACCTTTGTGCCGCTATTTCTGTACCTTGCTTTGCCCTTCCAAAGACAGATAAATAAACAAACAAGACAAAAGGAAATGAAAGCAAAAACAGCAACAAAAATATTTCTTTTAAATGTGAAATAATTTTATAAAACTATCTCTACATTGGCTTAAGGACTGGACCTACACTTCAAAATTAACCTAGAAAACACATACAAAACACAAATGCATAACAAGATTAATGACCACCATTAAAGCATGTGTTAGCTACATTATATGTGTCAATGAATTTACCAACTGCTATGTTTATAACATTCTCACAGAAATACTGTAATGTAAAAATTCTGTGGAGTTATGTTTATAGGAGTAAGGGGTGTGTGTAGCACAGTGGTAGTGCATTTGGTTAGTGTGCACAAGACCCTGAGTTTGATCTCTAGCACTGTAGGCCAAACCAAACAAATAACAACAGAATATGTTTTTAACCTGCAACTGTGATCATTCTATTTCTTGCTTAAAACTTTGCACAGGGCTCAGAATTCAGATCGCTACATAGCTTATGAGGCTCTGAATGTTTGAAGCACAGTGTCTTTTGGACTCTTTTTCACATCATTGGTCACTTTTCTTTACACTGTCCTTCCTTGTCCCTGTGAACTCTGCTTTCCAGGGATCTGCCATCCTCTTCCCCTCTGAGCCAATTCCTCTCAGCCTTCACGTCTCACCATCTCCCCTGCCTCATGTGTGCCACTTTCCTTCAGAGTCCTGGGAACTGTTGGATAGTGTTCATTCCTGTGATCCTCTGACTCACATCTGCCTTCTATTATTGACCTAAATCTGGTAGAGAGCCTGACTCAGCCTGCCTTGCTTCACATCATCCACCATGTTTATCCCTGGAAAGGAACATTGGTGCCGATGCACTGTTATGAAAAGAATACGTGAGAAACGTAGTCAATGATTACAAAAGATCAGTATACATTTTGCTGTCATTGAAAGAGACAGATAAAACCAGGCAGCTTTTAATTGTCATTTAGTTCAGCACATTTAGAGTTGGGAAAATGTCATTTTTCCCACCAGTCCCATTTTAAAATTTTAGTATGTACACATAGCATAAAATTGACCACTTAGTGATTTTAAGTGTATAGTTCCATGGCAGTAAATATAATACCACTGTGCTTAAAGTTATTTGTTAGCATCTAGTAGTAGTACAAGAGAGTTTCATTTTGACATGCACACATAACCCTTGATCAGACTCAGCTCTTCCGTTACCCCTCTTCCTTCTTCTTTGTCCCCATCTTGCATTAGAGAAATGATAGGAGCTACTCACATTTAAATTACCTAGTAGTCACTTTTTTAAAAAGTAGAAGAAACGAAGGAAATTCACATGAATGCTGTCATTTAATTTATGAACAGACTCCTTCAGCATGGAATCTAACTTCAAAATGATTCCCAATATTTTTACATTCCCCCCCCCCCCCTTTGTGCTTCTATGGTGTAGATCTTACAACTGCAACCTGCGTTCATAAGGCTGATCCACAAGTCAAGTGCTCAGGAGCTACGTAAGATGATGTTACATAGTCAATTTAGGGTCATTTTCACATAAGTGAGTGTAATACCTCTCAAAGCTGTAGGAAATCCAACTGGAACATTGGAGCCTCAATGTGGGAAGATATAGATGATTTCGTAGCAAGTGCTGTGATCAAAGGCTCAGGCATACATTTGTCCTCCAATTGTGGAAAGCTATCTTTTGGTTGGCTCTTTTAGATGTGACATGCAAAGGCTGTATATAGGAAGATTTGGGACAAATAGCACAACTGAATGCTGCCCTCCATCCCTCCCTCTGCCCCTCCCTGAGTGGGAACGTGAACTGTGGGAGGGAGCTCAGTGTCCCCCTGCATGTTCCTCTTCACTTCCAACAGAGGAGACACCCTAGTTCTCCAGGGGGACTTCTGGAGTCACCCAAAGCCTGGAGGGATGCCAGAGAGGCAAAGCCACACTGAAAACAGCAGCTGGCGTGTGGTTCTACCACGTTGAGATTGCCTCTGGGCTCTGATTTGCCAAACTGGATTCCTTTATTCTTTCACAATTGGCTCATTGCTTGTAACTTCCTTAAAGCCTTCTTAATCGAGCCTTACATACCTAAGGCTTTATTTTTTTCTTTTCTGTTACCTCTCCTTTATTAGTGCAGTACTTTACACACACACACACACACACACACACACTCATTTATGTATATATCTCACCTACAATGTGTCCTTTGACAACTAGTTGAAAAGCAAACAACTGGAATCTCATATTTCCTCCTCACAACAACTCTCTCTCTCTCTCTCTCTCTGTGTGTGTGTGTACATTTGAGGAATGCTAATGCCTTCATAGTCATCTTTATAGTAATGAGCAACATGCATACACCTGTAAATGCTATACATATACACATACATATACATCCACAATCTGAGGGTGAAATAAGAAGAAGGTATAGATGATCTCATTAAATTCTTCTGTTTGTGCTCACACTGGTCCTGCCGCTTGAACTCAGAGTCTTCACACTGTCCCTTACCTGTTTCACTCAAGGCTGGAGTTCTGTCACTGAGTCACAGCCACACTTCTGGATTCTTACTGGTTCATTGGAAATAAGAATCTGACAGACTTTCCTGCCAAAGCTGGCTTTGAACCATGACCTTCAGATCTTAGTTTCCTTAATAGGTAGGATTTTAGGCATGAGCCACCAGTGCTCAGCTTTCATGAACTTATGAGGGATTGTCAGTGTGATTATTTATAATTCCAAAACCAAAGGTTATCTCTGGCACGATATGGAAAGAGATGAAGATTCGAATCCCACAGCAGTGGTTGATCTATAGATAGAGGCTGTGGACATAGAGCCATACTGATTATAATGGAACTCTAAATGGAACTGATTAGGAAGAAGTGAATTAGTAGTTTTCTTTGTTTACTGATATTTAAAAGGACCAGGCTAAATATTATTTAGAGTAAAGCTTAAGATTGCTGTTGTATTTTTAAATAGGCCTATCTAGTTGAGTTGTTATTTCAGTAATGGTTTTAGTGTATGGTAATATATGCAGGACCTTTATAATATATTTGGTTTTTACTTAAGAGTATAGCATCGGGGCTGGGAAGTTGGCTCAGTGGTAAAGCGCTTGCCTTGCATGCCTGAGGCCCTGGGTTCGATTCTCAGCACCACATAAGCAAAAAGCCAGAAGTGGCGCTGTGGCTCAAGCGCTAGAGCGCTAGCCTTGAGCTGAAGAGCTGAGGGACAGTGCCCAAACCCAGAGTTCAGGCCCCACGACGGGACCCAAAAAAAAAAAAAAAAAAAAAAAAAAAGAGTATAGCATCGGGAAATCTCTAGCTTGTGAGAAACAGAAAAGCCAACGATCTGGCTCACTGTACCCAGCTGTGGGCTGTGGTGTGCTTACATTCTCTTCATCACCAGCACTACAAATCTCAGCTCCCATTTCAAAGTCAGAGCCAACTTTGACCATTTACTATTGATGAATGATGCTTATCCTCCTCCAAGGAGAAAAGAAAGTGTTTTTGTTTTGTTTTTGGTGTGTGTATGTGTGTGTGTGTGTGTGTGTGTGTGTGTGTGTGTTCTGGTCCTGGGGCTTGAACCTGGATATTGTCCCTAAGCTTTTGTGCTCAAGCCTAACACTCTTCTATTTGAGCCAGAGCTCCAATTCCAGCATTTTTGGTGCTGAATTGGAGATAAGAGCCTCAGGGACTTTCTTGCTTTGACTGGCTTCAAACCGAGATCCTCAGATCTCAGCTTCCTATGTTGGTAGGTTTACAGGTACCTGGCTGGAAAAATTTTAATACTGTGAAACCAGACACGATAGTAAACAAATCTTTAGAAATTATTCAGTGTGTGTTTTGATGTAATTAAGATGTATCAACAGCACTGAAAAATATTTAAAACCTGGTTGTCACTTTAACTTTTTTCTGTTTCCATATCTTAGAGTTCCTTTTGATTAACGTCATTTTATATGGTCATATAGCTGTGGTCATATAGCTCAATATAGCGATTGAGCTATTGTGATCTTCTTCTAGGACTATCCTAGACATTATTACTAATTATCTTAATTATTACTGTAACTTTTTTAAAGGAGAGAATTGAGGAGAGACAGACAGACAGAGAGGTTGGCCAGGTTCAGCAAGGCACCTTCTCAATCCCATTTTCTGCTGGCCAATGAATGTCTGCCTCTTGCTAAACATCAGCAGCTCTCTTTGGCAGTAGATAGAACAAATCCAAATCAATAAAATGATGCCAAATGAAGCTTTCATTTTAAAATGAGAGAATAAATCCATAAATTGTCACATAGGTTTTGATGGTTCATATGTCCACATTGGAGTCAATAAAGAGATCAATCTGAAGAAATTAAAAAAAATCTGTCTTTGGTTTTCAGAGATCCCAGTACAGATTTCATGTTGATTTCATGACTTCTTAACTCCCTAGCTCTGGGGACTTCAGACAAGGTAGATTTCCTGTGTATGCCTCAGATCCTTCCATAGGATTTGACTCTTGTCTAAATCCATCCCAGTTCCTAAGACTCTTTTCTGGTTTTGTTCTCTGGTATCGTGTAAGTGTCTGAGTAAAAATTATCACGAGGATTTGTGCCATTGACTTTTGTTTTGAAACAAACCTTAACAGATAATATCTTTTTCTTTCTGTGCTAATGTGGATTTCCCAAGTCCCTTACTGAGCTATCGGAGTGGGCCCTGTGGTTTGCCTGCTCAGAAAACCCCTATGCTGCGTGTTTAGTCACCCACAAAACCCTCTACAGAACAGAGGGAAGTCGGGCAAAAGCAACAGCAGGCTAAAGAATGCTCCATGGAATTACTATTTCCACGGTGTAGCAAGGACAGTCCCAGCTATGTGTGGCACACATTGCTGTTGTCTTATCTCTCTGTGTGGAGAGGGTCTTCTCTCATCACTGACGTAATTTGATTGCACCAGTGTGTCAGCTGTCACCTGTGGCTTCTCTCAGCTGCCCATTGAAATGCAGATAATGACGGTCTATAAAATTTCACAATGATGTGCCAACATTTTGTTTTGTCTCATCAAAGTGAAGTAAGAATCACTCCCCTACCCCCAACATAGCTTTGAAATAACAAAAAAAGTTCAAGGCTTTCTTTTTTTTGTCTGTCTTGTATTTTGCAGGTGGCTTGTCTAATCTCTTGCATTTTCGTCCTTATAGTCATCTATGCAATAGGACCTTTGCTATACTGGCTGCCCATGGTACAGTAATGCTTTTTCACTATCTACTTTTTAACTTTTCATTAGAGTGCTTGTGTATAAAGTATCTTGGGAGGGTAAATTTAATAATCTGAAATTATCTTCCATAAATGCTAGCTGACTGAGGGTGTGGGTTGCAGAGAAACAGCATTTAATGAGGGAGGAATGGGAGGGTACCATGGCTGATTAATTCTTCAGCTCATGGATGAAGGTATCCCTGTGGAGTCAGTATTATTCTGTAAGCAAATGGAGGGTGGAAATAGAAATACTCTGCTGCAAAATGTAGATAATGAGGCTTTGTTTGTAGGTCAGTGAGGAGAATTTTGCCTACACTGCATGTGGTCTTGGTTCTCTTTTTAGCATTTCATAAACAAGTTGGGTACAAGTGGCTCCCACCTGTAATTCTACTCAGGAGGCTGAGATCTAAGGATCATAGTTGGAAGCAAGCTGGGGTAGGAAGGTCGATAAGACTCTTATCTCCACTAAACTACCAGTAAAGCTGGAAGTGGAGATACGGCTTAGGAGGTAGAGTGTTAGCCTTGAGCAAAAGAAACTCAGGGACAGAGCCCAGGCCCTGAGTTCAAGGCCCAGGACAGGCACCAAGACAAACAAACAAATAAAAAAAAAACAACAAAATACAAAGAGGAAGCAAAAATAAACTTTGGAAAAATTTTCTCAGAACTTTGTTAGAAAATTTACTGGTATAACAGTCTAAGGAACAAAATGGATCTTCCCACTCCTTGATATACCCTTTTTAGAGTGTCACTGAGATAATACCAGTAGTTCACCTTGCTTTTGTAAGTCTGAGGAATTATAGTGACCATAGTTTAAGAATTTCATCCGAAGAGAGTCAATTTCAGTCCTTCATTTCTATAGTTTTTCACTTGTGCAGTAAGAATAAATCACTTTCACAGGATGATCTTTCATTAATCAAGTTCATTTTCTAAAGATATGAATACATCTTCAAATTAAGCCAGATAATTGATATTATAAAAATTAAAGAGGATACAAATATGTATTTTTTGCAACAAAGGTGTATCAGACCAATGATAATCCTTGAAGTTAAGGGAACACTAAGTCTTATAATATTTACTCCTATAATTCTTCATTTGTCCATTTGACTTCTCTGGTTTGTTTTACAGAATTTCTTAAGTTTTGTCCTGTGATTTCCTATATAATTGGTACGATATTCTTAAGCAACATAATGAGTTATCTCCAAATAAGAAATATTTTTTTAGTCTTTTTATTGGTGACTGCTTTTCAGTATTTAAGAGAGCAAAAATAAGAATAGCTTTATTCTTTTGAATTCAGATGAAAGCTTTTATCCTGTCTTCATCAAATTACTATTTTTTTTTTGTAGTGTGTTCTTGCAAGCATTATTGTTGTGGGACTAAAGGGAATGTTAATACAGTTTCGAGATTTGAAAAAGTATTGGAATGTGGATAAAATCGATTGGGTAAGTAGAAATTTAAACAACAAGTACACTTTAATATTTTTTAAAGTAGAAGTTTGGCCAGACTTTTTTTTTGGTTTGACCTATGCACATGTTACCAAGAACATTTTAACATTTTCATTTGTTGAAAAAGATTCAGGTGAGACTAGTATACTATGAATTATTGTTTTCTAAAAACTTAATAAAATTATTAGATACAAGTTGTTTTTATAAGAAGCAGAATTTTTTCAAGTGCTGATGGACTAGTAGTTTGGAAACTTCGAACAGAATTTCTAACTAGTTTGAGTGGATTGGGGGTGCATGATTTATGTTTTGAATTGATTCTGGAAGCAAGGTTATCAAGAAAGTGTACAGTGACAGAAATATCTTGATTTATAGCAATATGAATACCGAGCCTTTGGCATTTATTGCTGTCAATGGATGCTACATGAATGCAGGCTGAGTCCTAATTGGTGACCAAATTCACCTGACACAATAGGAAGTCTTGGGCATTATCTTCCAAATGGGTTCCACTGAGGGAAGGGTTAGATTGTTTAATAAAATATTCCCAATTACCGATTAAATTTCACCGAACAACAACAAGATGTGCTTTTGATAAACACAAATGTTTAGCATACTTATATAAGCTTGAATAGACAAGAACATCCAAAATTCTCTCTAGCTAGAATGTGTGAAATATTTCATGTACATCTCGGACGAGCTCGATTATGGAATCCATTGTAACATACTGGTCCATGCACTTTGTGTTTTAGTGCCTTTGTTCTGTGAAACTTCGGAGGATTGCTTTTTTACACTCCTCTGAGGCTCTTATTTTTGAGCTCCAACTAGAGTCTAATTCTGAGTGAGGAATGTAGATATGAATAAAAAATAACCTGTACCTTCTAGATACTTAATGTGTAGAAAGCAGAAACACTAACATATGCATACATGATAAAACCTCAGTACATACCTAGTGCTAGGAAAAACAGGTAGAAGCATTACTACATACAGGTCAATATGAAAGCATCACCCACTGACTTGAAATATGAACTAACACCTGAAGGAATACTATTTGGTAGGTAGGTCGAAAATATAATTAGCTAGGCTGCTGTTGGAAAGTGGCTTTTACTAAAGCAGTAGGTATGAGGTAGCTCACAGAAACAAAGGGAAGAAAAAAGACCTCGAATAGCAAAAACAATCCTTAGCAGAAAGAACAGAGCTGGAAGAATATCAATACTAGATATCAAACGCTACTATAAATCAAAACAGCTTGGCACTGGCACAAGAACAGACCTGAGGACCAGTGGAATAGAATTGAAGACCCAGAAATGAATCCATAGACCAATAGCCACCTAATCTTCTATAAGGGAACTAAAAAAGTAGAATGGAAGAAAGACAACCTTTTCAGTAAATGCTGCTGGCAAAATTGGTTAATCACTTGTAGAACACTAAAGCTAGATTCTTATATATCACCCTGTACCAGAATCAACTCCAAATGGATCAAACATCTCAAAGTCAAAGCAGACACCCTGAAAACATTACAGGAAGGAACAGGAGAAACTAGAGCTCCTGGCACAGGCTGAAATTTTCTTAATAAAGACCCAGAAACACAACAAATCAAAGAAAGGTTTAACAAAAAGCATAAAATTGCAGAGCTTCTGCATGGCAAAGGTCATAGCTAGCAAGATCAATAGAAAGCCCATGGATTGGGAGAAGATCTTCACTAGCCATACAATGGACAAGGGTCTCATATCTAAAATATACTTAGAACTCAAAAAATTAAATCCTCCCCAACACCAAATCCTCAAAGAAACAACTGCCCGATTAATAAGTGGGCTAAAGAGTTAAAGAGAAACTTCTCCGAAGAGGAAAGAAGAATGGCCAATAGACACATGAAGAAATGCTCAACTTCTCTAGCCATAAAAGAAGTGCAAATCAAAGCAAGATTGAGAGTCCACCTCACCCCAGTTAGAATGGCTATAATCAAGAACTCTAATAACAACAGATGCTGAAGAGGGTGTGGCCAAAGGGGAACCCTACTGCATTGTTGGTGAGAGTGTAAACTTGTTCAGGCACTCTGGAAAGCAGTATGGTCATAGAGGAAGAGCTCCTCTATGACCCAGCAATCCTACTTTTGGGCACTTGCCCAATGGATCACAAACAAGGCCATACTCAAGCTAACAGCACAACTATGTTTATCACAGTATTATTTACCATATCTAAGATATGGAACCAACCAAGATGCCCCTCAGTATATGAATGGACCAAGAAAATGTGGTATATATACAGATATCTACAGATATATGTGTAGATATCTGTATATATATCTGTGTATATATATAATGAAATTCTATGCCTCCATCAGAAAGAATGACACTGCCCTATTTGTTAGAAACGGAAAGACTTGGAAAAAATCATATTAAGTGAAGTAAGCCAGGCCCAAAGAAACACAGGTCCCATGGTTTCTCTTATTTGCAGTAACTAGTATATGTCTGAGACAAGCAGAAAAGCTAAAATGCTATGAAGATGATGCTAAGTGAACCCCAAGATAGGGACACAAGAGGTTTTATCTTTGCTGCTATTGTTTTTAATGTACTTATGATGTACTGTGATTTTTTTGTTTCTTTTGTATGTTCTTCCCCCGTTTTCATTGTATTTGATTCCAGTAGCCTGAATCTTGTATATACACATTTTTCTAATTTGGGGAGGGGAAAGGAAATAACAAAATGCTAAAATAAGAATACAGGTTGACCCATTGTAACAATGAGATGTACAATACACTATGTTGAAAACTTTACTGCTTCGGGATGGAGAATTTGGGGAGTTAGGGAGTGAAGGGATAGTAGAGGAAAAACAAAGGAGTGGGTGACAATACTTGATAGGAAATGTACTCATTACCTTACTCATGTAACTGTCACCCCTTTGTATGGTATCTTTACAATAAAAAATATATATTAAAAATTTTTAAAAAGAAACAAAGGGAAGAGAAGATTCAAACTTATTCTTAATCTTGTGCAAAGGTACTTCTAAGGAAGGTGTTATTCATGTAGGAGGAAGCAGAGAAGGAGAGAAAATGTTTGGTAGGACTTATTTGAGGAAGTGCTTTCTAAGTTGAGAATTGGAGGACAGAAAGATACCATTTGGGAACAGAAGATAACCCAGTGGGCAAGAATATAGAGATGGTATGAGCATATCTGGCTACAACAAAATCAAGGACCAGACTTTGTGAGGATGGTAATAGTAACAGATGAGATTGAAAAAGTGAAATACAGGTTGAATTGAGAAAGACTACTTATACCCTGCAAGATTAAACTCCATTCTGAAACAGCAAAGCATCACTGAAAGGTAAAATAAGAATATACTTTCTATATTAGAAAAGTTAGGAAGATGAATGAAAGGCATAGATCAGACCCTATAAGACAATAGAGGAATTGCAGCATTACTTCAGTCAATGATCAAAGTTAAGACCATGACATTCTAGAGCAAGCAATAGATTTGATAAGTAGAAAAGATTTTGAATTAGGCATCATTAGCATTTCATAGTATTAAGAGGATATCTAGAATGATGTTTGAGTTTCTAATTAGGATCAACATTGGAAGAAAATTTCATTTATTAAATTAGAGAAAAATAGAGAAAGTTTATTGTTTAAATGAATTCAGAGATTGCTATTAGGCTTTTAAAAACTATAACATCTTGTTCCTGAAGTATTCATTTCATGTCTTTAGTTTTTTTTACCTTATCACAAAGTTTTTCAAGAAAGTACTTGTGTTTCGTATTCTTGAGCTCTTTCATTTTGAAAATGTTGACTTTTTATAATAAAAACAAGTTTTTGGCTGACTCCTAAATGCTTTCCTTTAACAGCTTGTAGACTTGGCATTGTATTTTAGACATTTAAATTTTTCTAATATATCTCTAAATATGCTTAAAGTCTATATGTTCTGCTGTCTGTTGAGTCTATTTTTGTTTATGCCTATTTTTTTTCCTGCCAGTCCTAGGGCTTGAATTCAGGGACTAGGTGCTATCCCTGAACATATTTACTCAAGGCTAGAACTCTACCACTTTGAGTCACAGCTCCACTTCTGGTTTTATGGTAGTTAATGAGATAAAAGGCTCATGGATTTTCCTAGTGGGCTGGCTTTGAACCTTGATCCTCAGATCAGTCCTGAATATCTAGGATTACAGGTGTGAGTCACCAGCACCTGGTTGTGCCCTTATATTTTCTAATGATTATTTTTATTCATATGTACAATTATTTGATTTCTGATTATATATTTCTAGTTTGTTCTTATCCAATTTTTTAGCTTTAAGTATTTCCTTTATCTCTTTTATGTTTTAATGTCCACTAAAATTTCATAAATTCTTTCAGCTTGCTTTTACACACTTTCAGTATTTCTTTGTTTAATAGTCTTTCTTCCTTGAATTTTCCTGTTTTTGTTTGTTTGTTGGTCACAGGGCTTGAACTGTGGACCTGGGCATTGTCCTGAGCTCTTCAGCTCAAGGTGAGCACTCTACCACAGTGCCACTTCCGGTTTTCTGGTGGTTAATTGGAGATAAGAGTCTCATGGACTTTCCTGCCCAGGCTGGTTTTGAACTGTGATCCTCAGATCTCAGCCTCCTTAGTAGGGAGGATTCCTGGCATGAGCCACTGGCACTAGGACCTTTTCACATGTTTTTGAGAGTATTTTTCTCCAAGCTATTACATATCCAAATGTATGCTCTCTTTTTCAATTTCTCCTTCTATGAGTATGTCTCTTGATAATTCTTTTAGGATTACAATGCCTTAGTTTTTTTTAGTGGACCAAGCTACTTACCAAAAGACAATGTGAAGATGGAAGCGGAGAGGAAGTGAGAGGAAGTGAGTTGGAGTGAGTGCTGAATTAGGAATGTTATCTGAAGGTGTGTCCCCAGGGTGCATATCATACTAATGGAATTTCAGGTAGTGCTCTTAGAGACGTGCCATGGGTTTAGTACTAACTTCCAGAGCATCTTAATTGAATAAACTTGACAACTGAGATTATCATAGACCAAGTGGATAGATATCTTTTATCTGCTAAGAAATTCAACAGTGAAAGTCCAAAGATGCTTAGGATATGATTTGGGTATAACATTTGATGTAAGAATATACATATGTATCTATATATCTCTAGATTATTTATAAATAATACATATAATATATATTATCTAGATTACTCAACAAGAAAATATGCCTACAGTAAATATGGAAAAAAATTACCAAAGAGATGTGAGTCTGTGAGTGTGTGTATGCATGTGTAAAATAATTTGGAAAGCTAGAGTTTAAAAATTATGTAAGTAGTCATCATGTGAAAAATAAGAAGCCTTTAAATGTTTATAATTTGATATTGATTTTATTATGAGTCATAGTCAAATCCCTTTTTCAAAGTAATGAAGTAATAAGAACTAAAGGAAGCTATTTATTCCTGGGCTTAGGTCTGAGTCTGAATAGGTGAATTGCTATGAAATTTGAATGGTACCAGATAAATCATGGAAAGATGCTGTAATTTAATAACTACTAAACTGTGATTTCCAATTGTATTTTCTGTAAGGAACAAGAATTTCTATGTATTCTTCTTAAGGTTAACTGTAAGGTTAGATTATGTTTGGTGATTGAAAATTATAATTTTTAGCTAAAAATAAATAATGGTGTAGGAGCCATACAGTTTCACTGTGTGTTCATCAACATTTTAGTTTTTAATATAAATTGTTGCAAAATAGTATTAGGGATTATTCTAACTAATGGAACTATTTACTGATCTTTGTTACTAATTTCCAGTTGACATTTTTTTCCAAAGCTATAAAAGTAGCCCCAAGAAAGAACTAAGCATTTGGAGAGCCTGATTTATAATTGATGAGGCTGAGGGAGAATAAACATACTTTAAAAATAGAACCAGATGGTACCAAAATTTTTGGTTGCTCTGATGAATTCTGGCCCCCAGGCCCTGTGGTTTTATAAACATAGCAGGGACCAGGATCCTTAGCTCCATGGAGGTTAGTCAGGAGGCATGGGACTCCTAAGGCTTGGGTGAGGTTTTCTTTGACTATGTCAGACAGATTCATGTAACATTCAAGGAAGAGTGGGACTTGGAGTCATCATAAGAAGGTGAAGTAATGCTAAAATCTTGCAGTATATTTTATGTATGATTGTGCACAGTGTAATATATTAGGAAGGAAAAAAATCACATCATGTACAATCAGAAGACAGCTGACTGATCTGAATAAAGAAAGCACAATGTAGTATCCTAACCTGTCAAATGATAAACTGAAATAATCTTAGAATATGAAGTAACAATGTTACGTTTATAGGAAGAGAGTTCTATTGGGGTTTTCTTTTCCTTCCTTCCTTCCTTCTTCCTTCCTTCCTTCCTTCCTTCCTTCCTTCCTTCCTTCCTTCCTTCCTTCCTTCCTTCCTTCCTTCCTTCCTTCCTTCCTTCCTTTCTTTTCTTTCTTTCTTTTCTTTCTCTCTCTTTGTGCACGTGTGTGTGTGTGTGTGTGTGTGTGTGTGTGTGTGTGTGTGTGTGTGATCATGGAGCTTGAAGTCAGGGCCCGGGCACTGCTGCTTAGATTTCTGGCACAAGGCTAGCACTCTACAACTTTGAGCCACAGCACTATTTTCCAATTTTCAGTGGTTAATTGGAGATAAGAGTCTCATGGACTTTCCTGTCCCTGATACCTTTGAACTGCAATCCTAAGATCTCAGCCTCCTGAGTAGATAGGAGTACAGGCGTGAGACACTGGCACTTGCTTTTTTTTTTTTTTTTTAAGAATTATTGAAAAGTTATTTTCTCTTTTACTTACTCCAGAATGTTTCTATTTATATAAAAAGTAAGTTTGCAGATAAGAATCTCTGAATTTGCTTTCAAAGGTTTATACTTTTGAAACAACCTGTTATTAACTCACATTCAGTGTAGATAAATATCCAGACAAGGAATCACATTTCAAGAGGGAAAAAAAGCTTTTACAATTATTTGCTTAAAACTTGATTGAAAAATCAACCCCTCTAAAGATTTTATGCTATTTTCTGATTACAGAATAGTTTCTAACTCTTTCATTTGTGAATAAAACTGATCTATGTTTTAAAACCCTTTAAAAAGTGGTAACACCTTAAAACATTGGGCAGAAAGAAATCAACTTTCAATTGTATGCATAGGCAAAATGATTCAGGTTATTTAGGGGAAAAAGAGATCTTGGAAATTCTGGCAGTCTACAATTTGATCAATGCAAGATTTTGTGTTTAGAAATATAGCTTTTCTGGATTTCACAAATTATTTTGCTTTTAAAGGTAGTTTTTGCATCGTTAAGCTTAGAAATGCCTGCTCCGTTGCATATCTTGTTTTATTATGCCTTCAAGTGGTAGAAAAAACTAAAATAATTTTGGAATACCAACTAAAAGAGGAATTAGAGTTTCTTATACTGTTCTGGAATCTCCATGTGAACTAACTTGGCCCTGCCTGTTCCTTTTCCTTTTTCTCTTTTCCGTTTCACAATAAGTGGCTCCTTGTAAATAAAATTATAATGTTCTTTATACTTGCTGATCTAAAAGTAGCATTGGCAGTGTTATTTGATTCCGTCATTTTAACACTAGGCTTTGAGAACTTTATGCAGTAATAAATTGCATTTATTATTTGCATAGCAATCTTAGAAAATACAGAATATTGTTGAGAATGACAAAAAATCTGCAAACAATTACCTATAATATTGTTACACCAAATGACAAACAGTGGGAAATTATGGCATACCTCTGACCACATACATATCCATCAGCTATTTACAGATCTTAAATATAGTGTTTGTTGCCGGTGGAACTGAGGGTTGGCAGTGTCTGGAAATGCAAAAAGAAGCCTTTCTCTGTTGCCAGTGCAGAGCAACTTAGGGAGCAAATATTTGTTTCTGTATTTTGAGCTTCTGTTTACCACTTTTCAAATAAGACATTTTGGCTACCAGATTTGCCATAGAAACTCTTAGAGCATAAGACTTTGAGAATACTGAGGACCCAATGCTTTCTGTCTCCTGCTTCTTTTTCAGGGTATTTGGATCAGTACTTACATATTTACCATTTGCTTTGCTGCCAACGTAGGCCTGCTGTTTGGTGTGGTCAGTACCATCGCTATAGTGATAGGACGTTTCCCAAGGTATGATTTCATTTAAAGACTTGGTTTATTCTTATGCGACAACCACAGATAGGATATTACTTGTTACTTTCATTTCTCAAAAGTTCTAGAATTTCATGTTTTACTTGTGATCAGTACAATAGAGACAGATGTCTTGTCTACGGATGACATGTAACAATGTTGGTCTTAATGGAGAGAATTCTCAACATCATAAAATAAAACTATAAAATCAGCTTTCCATCACTCCCCAAGATAAAGCAACTTGAGAGAAAGAAGTTTATTTCGTCTTAAAAGGTTTTGATGCAATGGCTACTTAGCCTGGTTGCCTGGGCTTGTGGCAGCCCTGTACATTATAGTAGGGGTTCATGGTGGAGGAAATATGCTCACCTGCTCACCTCCTGATGGTTTGGAGAGAGAGAGAGAGAGAGAGAGAGAGAGAGAGAGAGAGAGAGAGAGAGAGAGAGAGAGAGAGAGAGAGAGAGAGAGAGAGAGAGAGAGGAAAGCAATAGTCTCCCAATACCCTCTTCATGGGTGTACCAATGATTTAGCTAAATGATTTATCTAACCTACCACTAGGTTGGATCTTAGTTTCCACTCTTTCCATTAGCACCACAGAAAAGCAACGAAGTCCTTAATGAATAGGCCTTGGGAGCCATTTCTAATCTGAGCTATAGCAAGTATACAAAATCTATACAAATAGAAAGTGCTCTTAGCCATATACTATCTCATAGATGGTTTTAACAAGTGAAGGCATATAGTATCCAATGAGACACAACCATATAGCAACACTAATCATTTGCAAAATTTAACTTCAGAAAATCATACTTTCCAGAAGCCCATGTATATGTACTCAGGAACACACTATTTCTGTCTTTGTGCTGAACATCTATAACTCATTTACCAATTCCTGTTTTACTTTCTGAGTATATATCTGGACTAGTTCTCATAGTCATCTCTTAACATTTTCTTAAAATTGTTTATGAAAGAATTTGTTCTTTAAGATCTAAACTTATCTCCATTGATTCTATTTTATACAACCTGTAGATACAGATGCATTATTATCTTATTCTTTCTTGTCACTGATTCCTTTTACTCCACTAAAACAAGCTGTGCTCAAATGCTATATATTCTGTAGTGTTTTCTCTTTCATGATTCTTTATCAGTTCAGCTCTTACACCTTGATGATATGGGCCTCTGGTAATCCAAATGAGGTAAACTGTTTTATTGATTTTTGACGAGGAATCTGTTTTATTTCTGAGATTCCAGGAATATATGTAATATACAGAAATATATTACATATATAACATATATACATATATGTATATAGATATATATTTATATACATATATAGATATATTTACTAATATTTTATGAACAAGTAAGTTATAGAACTGAAACCATTTCAGACATTCTAATTGTTAAGATAAAACTAGTTATCTCTTATTTCTCTATTGTTAATATAGTAATCAGGAAATGATTGTATTTTCTATCTGCCTTAAATTCAGAGAAAAGACTTTAAGCATAATAAATATGAAAGAAATGGAATTTAAAGTGAAGACCGAAACAGATGATGTAAGTTTAGTTTCCTTTTATTCTTTGTAGAGTTATTAAAATGTTGTGAATGAAATAATTTTAAGACATAAAGCAGATAAATTATTTCATTTAATAATATCATTCCAATTTTAATTAGTATGAACTTACACTGCTAAGTATATGAACACCATACCAATAGATACATAACAAATAACTTAGCATTCAAATAAAAATCCTTAGCATTCAAATAAAAATCCTATCAGTAGTCCAAGAACTAGAGCTTACAGTGAACTCATGGTTAAGGTCAGCTTAAGCATTTGAAATCCCTTTTAATTGCTAAGTTACATAATTAAGGAAAAGAATAAAAATAGGAGCCAAGTTCAAGTGGCTCACACCTGTAATCCTAGCTACTCAGTAGATAAAGATCTAAGGATTGAGGGTCAAAGCAGATAAACCTGAGAAATTCTTATCTTCAATTACCTAGCTAGAAATGGAAGTATGGTTCAAGTGTTAGAACGATAGAATGCCAGCCTTGAGCAAAAAAAAAAAAAAAAATCTACGCAAGAGTGGGAGGCACTGAGTTCAAGTCCTATGACTAAAACCTGACCAACCTGGACTGTGAGCCTCTGTGCTTCTGTTTGTCACTGGGATGAGAGGGTATGCCACTGTGTCTGGCTATTGTGTTTCCCCCAAAGCCTTGGAAGACACCATACCCATCCATTGTGAATTTTTTTGCCCTGGCCGGTCTTGAACTGCAATCCTCTAATAGTTGTCTCTCAATTAGTTAGGATACAGTTTTGAGACACCCCACTGGTTTTTTGTTGTTGTTGTTGTTAAGAAAAACCAAGACTGCATAGTTAATAGATGACAGTTAAGCAGTTCTAGAATGCTGATCAGCTTGGAACTTTTAAAGGGAAAAACTTATGTAAATTGCCCACCTGTGTTGAGAGTGCCAACTAATATCACTTGAGTGTTACTTTCTTGCTTTAAGGGATAACCAAAACAATTTAAAGCATGAGGGAAAATGTTGGTTTGAATTATTTTTGCCAGTTTTTGAAAGTTGCCCTCACTTTGAACTGGCTTGGTAAATGCTTTGTTTTTCACATTCACTTGTTTTAGTAACTCATGATTTCCCTCAGAACAGAGAGAACTGGCCTCCCATCAGAAGGACCAATGTTAGTGTATTTCTAAGTAAACTGGAAGAAAGAAGTAATATGAGGAACCCTTCTGTGACACCCAGGGGGAATAGCTTGCATTTTTAAATAAGCATGGAAAGATTTGCTTCACGGAGAGCTCTTTGAGTGCAGTCTTTGATGGTTTTCCAGTGTCAAGTTTTCCACCGCCTCTCTCTTTTCTTACCTTAACAGTTATACAAAATTTGGGGCTGGTGCAAAGTCCCAGCCTGATCAGAGCCCCTAAAGTCCTCTTTGGATCCATCCCACATGGCCACTAATACTGGCCTTGACATCCTTAATCTGATAGAGAATTCAGTTTTGGATTGATTCTTTTTCAGCTTAAAAAAATCATTAGATGTCAATGGTTTATGCTTATAATCTTAGCTACTCAGGAGGCTGAGATCTGAAGATTGGCGTTCAAAGCCAGCCCAAGTAGGAAAGATAGCCACCATAAATCAAAAAGTGGAGTAATAATTCAAGTGGTAGAGATGGTAGCCTGGAGTGAGTGGAGAAAATCTCAGGGACAGCATCTAAACCCTGAGTTCAAGCCCCAGGACCAGCACACAAACACATACACACATATGTGCACACACACACACACACACACACACACACAAGAAAATCAACAAACTCTGTTTAGTTCATGCCTTCTTCTTGGACTAAACATATGGTAAAGTGAATGAAATAACTGTAGGAAAGATGAAATGCTGGAAGAATTTCCATACTCTTAAACCTTATTATTCCGTTCCGGTCTTCATATTCTACTGAATGAGAACTGTATGACATGGGAAACTTAAAACATTGTTAAAACACTGTATCTCACTACTTTTTTGTGACAAAATTAAGAGGTGAAAAAAACAACAATATTTATATATAAATTTTGGGTGGATTTTTAAATTTTTAAACAAAATGTATTCCCTTCTTTCATTCATATACACGTTTTTCCACCCCTTCTTCTTACAAGAGACCCATTCTAGATTTGAGAGACCTCCTTTCTACTCCATTAGGAATTTTCTTTCTGAAACAATGGTAACATTTTTTTCATGTTATTGTAACTGAAGATAATGCTGGTACAATCACATAAATTTTGCAATGATTAAATATGATAAATCTAAGAACTAATGCTTTATTTTTGGTTTCTGAAAGGTTTACTCTTGCTTAAAAATTAGTTTGACAACTTAAGGTTACTTTTTCTTGAATTGTTTCTGCCAACTCTTTTAATAGCTGAATCAGTTTCATAGCTTTAGAAACATTTTGGGGTTATCTCGTTTAAGATACAAAACAAGTAAACTGAGAGACTAATGAATTGTCCAGATTAATGTATCTAATATTTTCTCCTTTCTTTCCTCTGCCTGCATGCATGACTATTCTCTGCATATCCTCTTCTATGCAAGTACTAAAGCCTGAAGGAGTATTGCTTTGCTTAGTTGGTAAGGAGTTACCATTTCATACCATTGACCACCCTCTCCATCAGACACATGTCCCAAAAGCTGAGAGAAGACAGTTTGATTACATGGCACTAAATACTGTCAGCAATATCTGTTCAAGTTGTCAAAGTAGATACCATTTGTGCTCATTTTTTCTGCTCTTTTTCTACATCTTTCACCTACATCCTGGCAATGCAGTGCTACCTATGCCTATATCATGCGAAATCATTGCCCTGACCCTGACTTTTCTTTGTATCTTTCTTCCAATTAGAACTGTTAGTCACTTGTAAGATATCAGCTGAATAAAATTAAGAGCTGACACAGATCTTTACAGCTTTATATTTTCATTTAAAAAATACTGATTTGAGGGCTAGGGCTGTAGTACCATGGGAGATCATTTGCTTGGTTTGTGAGAAGTTCTAGGTTTAATCCCCAGAACTGCAAATAAAAGGACTGATGGTTTGGTAAACTAATTGCTAACATATAGATTGATTGGAAAGCCAATCTTGGAAGGAGTATTCTTCCTGGTACCATTTAGATATGGTAGGCGAGGGCCTCTTAAACCAGGCAGCAGGAGTCAATGTCATGGTTATTAATGTTTCTTAGTGGAGAGGATTTGTTAGTATTTTAAGCCATCTAAATACATTTCACTAAAACATTTGTTTAGAGGTTGGTATTTGAAATGATAAGATTTTGACTCATTAGCTATGGTCATTATTTCTCTTTCATTCGGAATTGTGAATCTCTTCTTTTTTCTTCTGTAAAAGGAAACCCTACAACAGGTAAAAATCATCTCAATAAACAATCCACTTGTTTTCTTGAATGCAAAGAAATTTGGTGCTGATGTAATGAACTTAATCCAAAAGGAAAACCAGCTACTGGATGATATAAGCAAGGTAAGACCACTGGTTTTATGCTTAGAATGTCATATATCATGACACTGGACATGGTGTTCTGTGAAAAATATACTATAAAATATAAGACAAGTCATTTATTTTATAGAACCTCTTTATCAAAGCCCTAACAAATATGTATTAGACCTAAAGCTTACAGATATAGAATATGACAAATGACTTCAAAGAAGCATAAGTAGTATCAACTATGATTTCAAATGTGCTTTATTTTGATTTGATGTAAATTAGCTATCTATCATCATTCAACTTCTAAAGCCTTTTCCAGTGTTCCAAGCCTAGATTTGGGAGCCAAATTGCCTGGGTTTGCCAACCGTGAATAAAGCCATTCATATCAAAGTGGATTGCTTAAAAGTTCCTGCTTTGGCCTGGTGGCTGGGCTCTTGTTGATTATTCTGCTAAGCCAACATCAGTAAAAAAGGTAAAAGAGGAAGGAAAGAAGGAAAAGAGGAACTGCTTTGGGATAAGAAAGGATTTTGAAATGCAAGGTTTTGTCTTAACTGGCTGTTCCAAGATAGAATTAAGACACACGTCAGAAGACATACCTCAGATTATTCAAGAAAGAGCAGAGGGTATGTTTTGCAATTGCTTATTTAAAGTCATTTAATGGTGATCTTATAATGCATCTTACTCTCTTCTAACGAGCTAATTTTGAGCAGATTTTGAACTTAAACTCAACCAATCTGAACAGCAGGTCAAAGCCTGCCGTGCTAGGGATAAATAGGGTAGCAGTGTCTGCTCCCTGGGCACATGATTTTTGGCTGATAATGCATGCTTCTGCACAAAAGTAAATTTTGCCTTGCTGGAACAATTCTTTGTTTTCATGTCTATCATTGGGATTCACTCTGGGGTGGTTCTTGGAGAATATATTTATAACAGACACCATTCTCTTGGTGTGGGTTTTTTTAATTTTAATTAAAAATTAAAATTAAAAATTAAAAATAAAATTAAAATCCCAGCTGAGGGACAGCTGGGGCGCTGTGCCTCAGCTCTTCAGCTCAAGGCTAGCGCTCTACCACTTGAGTCACAGCACCACTTCCAGTTTTCTGGTGATTGATTGGAGATAAGAGTCTCACTGACTTTCCTGCCTGGGCTGGCTTTGAACTATGTTCCTTAGATCTCAGCCTCCTGAGTAGGTAGGATTACAGGCGGCACGCTGTGGGATTTTAACTTGCTGAATCTTTAGCTTTATGTTTCTTATGTGTAATCAAGATGGTTAAGTGTGTTGTTGAATGAAATGCACTTAGAATAGAGTACGGCATACGCAGTACTGCACTTTCAACAGTGTTCTGCCTACTAGTGCTACACAAACTTAGCAAGCATTAGTTTGATTGCCTTCCCTTTTCATAAGGTTTTCCTCAACTACTTTAGATCATAACATCTCTTTTTTTTCTCTTACATCCTTGTCTGTCCCATCCAAATCTTAACCAGGCCTGGTCCCATTTATCTTCTAAAAGTAGATAAGATTCAGGGTGGTATGGCTGTAAAATACATTCTTGTTTCTCAGTCACTCATATATGTGGGAAACTTTGGACCAACCATTTCTAGTGTTCTTTTTTTTTTGGGGGGGGGGGGGGGTCCAGTCGTGGGGCCTGAACTCTGGGCCTAGGCGCTGTCCCTCAGCTCTTCAGCTCAAGGCTAGCGTTCTACCACTTGAGCCACAGCGCCACTTGTGGCTTTTTTTTTTGTTTTTGCTTATGTGGTGCTGAGGAATCGAACCCAGGGCCTCAGGCATGCAAGGCAAGCGCTCTACCACTGAGCCACCTTCCCAGCCCCTTCTAGTGTTCTAAGAGCTGTCCTGAAGGATATTTCTGCCGTTTACAACCCCATGCTTCTACCAGATGATCTCACTGTGACCCATACCAGAAAGGCCCAGTATATAGAATCAGATATATGATTTGCAGAGGCAAGTTTCTTTATTTACCAAATAATAAAAAATTCAACATAGTGATAGTAGAGTGTAAGCTAAGTTAGAAAGCCTTCTAATTGTGGGGGCCTTTTGGATCTGCAGATTGCAAATTCATGCCAATTTTGCCTGCATCACTGCAACTCTTAGTCTCTCACTGTGTTCTTAGGATTTTACTTCTGAAGGAATATTGGGAATCGTTACTAGTAATTTTTGTTCTCTTTAAAAAGGAGAAGATGTAGTCATAATTGGTCAAGTGTGACACTAGTTTTATTTTTAATCACAAAACCTTATTACATTATGTAGCAGGACGCAGTTGTATTTTGAGTAGTATAGAGCTTTTTCTTTTTTTTTGAATCAATGTAAGGTCACACCATTATATGAATGTTTGATCATTTTTTGATCCAAAATCAAAACAGAGACTTGCAGAAAAAGTTTGAAAGAAGATATTCTAAGTAGATAATATAACTTATCTTCTGATCTAAAGTATACTTAGCAGAGGCCTTTCATTGAGATTCTTCTTCTCTTTTCTTTTTTTTTTTTTTTTGGTCCAGTAGTGGGGCCTGAACTCTGGGTCTGGGCGTTGTCCCTCAGCTCTTCAGCTCAAGGCTAGTGCTCTACCACTCGAGCCACAGTGCCACTTCCAGCTTTTTTCTTTTTTGCTTATGTGGTGCTGAGGAATCGAACCCAGGGCCTCATGCATGCAAGGCAAGCACTCTACCACTGAGCCACCTTCCCAGCCCAAGAGATTCTTCTTTTCTAAATAAAATTCCTCACACTCAAAAAATAAGTGTACTTAGAACTCGTTATCATTTTATTATTTCTAGGTTCTTTGCATACAGCATTCTGAAAACAAGGCTTGTGAAGAATGTTTTCTGGAGATTAGTTTTGTTAGTCCTATGGAGAAAGGAATGAGATGCTTGTATGGACCAGAAATAAATCTATGTAACTTGTCTCTTCTTTATATATGTTTTTATTTCAGTGTGAACAAAACACATTGCTGAATTCGCTGTCAAATGGCAACTGCAATGGTAAGTTGTCCTTATGGAAGAAACTGAGTATTCTGAGTTGAATTTAGATTAGAGATGAAATCTCCTTTCCCATTGGTTCCCCATTGACTTCTTCCCTTTCTCCACCTCTGGCCTCTACTTTTCTTCTCCTACTTCCTTTGTTGTGCTCTCCTTACCCTTACTGTCTCCTTTTTCTTCTACTCTCACTTCCTTTGTCCTACTTCCTTTCCTTTTATTCTCCTCTCTTTGTTCCTCCTCTTAGTCAGCTCTTCTTTTTTTTGTCTTTTTCTTCCTCTTTACTTTCTCTTATTGTTTCTTTTACGTCATTCTCCTTCTCTATCCCCTTTTTTCTTTGACTTCTCCCTCTTCTACCTTTTATTCCTCCTTCTTTAGTGTTCCTTTTCTCTTCTTTTTTGTTTATTTCAAAGCAAAAGTAAATAAAAGTAATTAGTAACAGTAAATAAAATAAATGTTTTAAACACAGACTGACATTCATACTGTGGTTTTAATGTGAATCAGCATTTTCTTTCAAATATTATCTCCAAATGTTTTTCATTTTCACCCAAAACAAAAACAGCAATTTTAAACAACTACAGGTTCATACTTACTTTGGAGAAAAAAAAAACTAAAGAAATGGCAAGAAATGTTTTCATCATTGGTGCCTGTTAAGTTAACCTGGTTGATATTTATTGATAACAATATCTTCTTGCTAAATGGAAAGTGGTTTTATTGGAAATATTTTGAAAGTATATATTTTATTACCTACTTTGAATTTTAGTTAAAAATTCCATGATTCCATCATTACAATAAACCTATAATTCAATATATAGATAATATATAGATTATCTATAAATATATCTATCTATATCTATAAGCATATAGATAGATATATCTATAAATCTATCTATATATAAATACAGATATCTATCTAGAAGCTGAATAGATGATATGATTTATTAGTGAATGAAATAGTACCTCATATGTTTCTCTTATTAGAAACAAATTGATGATAAGTCAATTTTAAAATTAAACATTACAAACTGCATAACATTTATTTCCCTCTTAAATGTTATTTTTATAAAGAATAGTCAGTTATAAATATTCCTTTTTTTAAATGGCTTGGTTATTCCTTCATTCCTCAATGTAACCCTGCATTGTTCTATAGATTATACTTTTATTTACTATCATTTCCAAAGCAATTTGAGTTTTGTTTCTTCCCCGCCCCCCCCCCCCCCCCCTTGAGTTTTGTTTCTAAATAGTCTTTTCAAGTTTCCGGGCATTTCAAATAATGGAAATAATATATTTAGACATATCAGCCAACATATAATTAAACTGCAAATCTTTAATAGAAGGACAATACATAGAAATAAGATCATTCCATGTCTTCCTCTATTTGAAAATTAGTAAATTCTCTTTGAAATTATATATCACACAAAAAAGAAATTATAGTGAAAATAATGATTAAAATTTATTTTACTAAATGAACTATGCAGAAAGTTTTAGGGAACACATAAAGCAGTACTGAAAGAAACAAAAACTTGAAGTCTACAAATATAAAAATGGAAATCAAAATAAGAAATAAATACAAAATTAAGAGGACTGACAGTTTGGGTCTTTCAAAAGCAAAATAAAATTATCAAGTATCAAACAAACCTAAGGAATAATGGTAAATCATAAGTAAAGAATAGTAGCAACATAAAAGGTAATATATCATCAGATTCTAGGCATATGTAAGACATGAGAAAATAGTAGACATTTTGATACCAAAAGAAAATTGAGATGACATGGACAAATTCCTAGTAAGATATAATTTTCTAAAATTGATCTAAAACATAAAAGGAAAACATCCCCCAAAGTTTCTACAACTGGTAAAGAAATTAAATCATTAATGCAAAATCTTTCCATAGACAAGAAAATTTTCATACCTTAGTGTGTTCATCAGTAATTTTGACCAAAATGGATAGATAGTAAAAGATTCTTCATAGTAGCATTGTTTATAATACCTCCCAAATGAACAAAATATGAGGGATAAATGATATGTAGAAGGTTTATGTAATTTAATTATAAGCATATTAAAGTATCTAATGTACTACAGTGCATAACATATTCCCAGTCAATACATAACAGAATAGAATAGAAGTATATGAATCAGCTTAGTGTGTTATCTCAAGCTTGTAATCCTAGCTACTTGGGATGCAGAGAACAGGAGATCACTGTTTAGGACAAGCCTTCAGGTATTTCCATCTTAACCAATGTTTGAACAAGTTGGCACATCCTGATTATCCCAGCTTCAGAAGCATAATGGCTAGGGACATGGCCCATACCTGTTTCATAGGGACATGAGGAAGCACAAATAGGAAGATCACAATCCAGGTCAGGATGGGCATTATGTTGAAAATAAACAACACACAAAAAAAAGATGACTGGAGTTATGGCTCAAATGGTAGAGTGTCCAGCAAGAACAAAGCCTTGAATTCTGTCTTTGGTGACATTCTCCTGTCTTTCCTTAACATTTTGTTCATATATTTTCCAGGTCTCATAAAGCTCAAATGATTTGTTCAAATGATTTGCTTATATGTTTGATAGTGAGTCTATTGAAGAGATGGACCTTCATCTCTCTTGTTCACTCACTATTGACTTATATTTCCCAGGAGAGTCTTTGACTAATCATTCAGTGCATCTGTGTTAACTGACTGCTGGGATAAGTGAATGAATGAATGAGGGAAATGTTCAGTAATATGTTCGTGTTTTCTTTCTTGTCCTGAATGTTTCTTATCTCCTTATTTCTTGAGAAATTAGAGTTTTAAGATTGCTTCTCAAAAGTTAATTGATGCCAACAGGAAAAACACTTAATTTAAAAAAAAGTTATGAGTGACTCAGATTGTCAAGAATCTTTTGAAGTATATAAAAAGTACTCCTAAATTATACGACTATGAATACTTTTTAATTAAAGGAGTTAATGAATATTCCACAGGAAAGATCTGGTTTCTACAGTCTGGAGTTAATTGCCCACCCACACCTGATGGTTAATTTCTTTCTGAAATGTTGTTTTTTGTAGATAAAGCCCATCATTTACCACATCCCACATGGATATAGATTAGTTGTTTCCTTTGCACATGCTCCAAGCTTACTTTGTTTTGCTTAAGGCAGGATATTAGCTGTGCATTCACTTTACTCTTTTCTGGTATGATGTGATTTTTATTGCAGTAGTTGATTTACTTAGAAGCTTAGAACACAAGGTTATATTCATAAAACCAGTAACAATGGCAGAAATGGCAGAAATGAAAGGATACTATGTAAAAGGAACTTCATTTTTTGGAATGTTTTTGAAATGTACATTGAATTTAAATTTTCATTTGAGTGAATTGTTAATTTCTTTTTTTACTTTAAAAGAGGAATCATGCATTGCTTCTTATAAAGTAGCTTGTTCAAAGAAATGATCCCAACTATATGGTGTGAGTTTTTTTTTGCTTAATGTGGTTTTATTAAGGATATTCTGGGAATACATATATATATATATTAATTAAAAGAATAGTACACTGTGCATTAGTGGCTCATGCCTGTAATCATAGCTACTCTGGAGGTTGAATGAGATCTGAGCATTATGATTCAAAGCTAGACCAGGCAGGAAAGCCCATGAAACTCAGACCTAAAAAAAGCCAAAAGTGGAGCTATGTCTAAAATGGTGGAGTGCTAGTTGAACAAAAAAAGCTCAGGGACAGCATCCATGCCCAAAGTTCAGACCCCAGGACTGGCACACACACACACACACACACACACACACACACACACACACACACAGCACGCACGCACACACACACACACACACACACACACACACACACACAGAATAGCACTTAGAAAACTAAAATATAAAGTAAAAGACAAAGCACATCAATAGCATATACTGTGAGAAAAATGGAAGTAAAAATTTTGAATTGCTATTAATAAAGGCTAAACATTTACATTTACATGGTTATTAAACTATTATGACAAATTATAAAATTATTACAAGTGATGAGAATTGTCAATAAAGTGTTTCTGAAAAATTCTAATACCTTTATATTGACATTTTACTAGTAATCTAGACAGTTAACATCAATCTCTCTGGTTAATCTAAATACAAATTATTTTTTGTTTTTAGTTTTAGCAGTGATACAGTAGTCAGGGCCTTGCATTCACTGGACTTGTTGGGTTTGCTGATGTGCTACTACTTAAGCCACACTTGCAACCCAACACTTTGAAGTTTGAGGTTCTGGTGTAGCATGTGAGGCCAATGGATGCACAGTCCTAATCCATATCAACTACTTTGCTCTTTCTTACAACAGAAACATGCATAAGGGAAACTCCAATACAGTGCCTGGCATACACTTGACCTTCAGCTTTTACTGGTTGAATGTTAGCCAGGGAGGTCTGAGAAGTTAAGCTGTCGTTAGTGTTTAATTAAAGCTGCCCATTTGGTTGGGTGGCTGGTGTTTTTTGTTTTTGCTTTTTATTTTCTTTTTTTTTTCATAAAGCATTATTTTGTTAAACCAATGAGATATCTACTTTTCATAAATTTCCATTATTTTTCAACTACTCATTTTTAATCAAATATCATTTAATGTCCCAATCCTATCCTTGGTTTTCAGAGTATTATAATCTTGAAGACAAGAGTAAAACTATGTTGTTCATCTGTTAGTACCCACTGCATTTTTAACAACTTCTTGTATATAGTACCTATTCTGTAGCTATTAATCAATTGATAGATATGAATCTAGACTTAAATTCAAATACATGCATTAGACATTACTTTGTAACATTTTTCCTTTTCCTAACAGTTAATGCCATATAAAATTTGTCAATGCCATCCAGGCCTGGTGGCTCATACCTTTAATCTTAGCATTTTTGAGGATTTTGAGTTCAACACTAACGTGAGCTATATCATGATTCCTTGACCAGCCTGGGATTTGGTGTGGGATCTGTCTCAAGAACAAAACTAAACAAAATACCTAAAAACCAAAATAATGTGTTTTATTTCTGTGTCTATTTTATATTCCTGCTCATTTGCTTTTATCTCTTAATTGCAGTTTTTTTTTTGTTAAATGCGCTCTTTCTTTCACATTTTCCTTCATGTTCAGAAACATCCACTTGATCGTTAGTGGGACAACTACAGTGAAAAGCCTTGGGCATTTTCAATGGCAAAACTAATCCAATTAAGCGTGTGTGTGTGTGTGTGTGTGTGTGTGTGTGTGTGTGTGTGTGTGTGTGTGTGTGTGTGTGTGTGTGTGTGTGTGTGTATTTTTTACCCCAGAGAATTTCTTGATGACCAATGAACTGGAGCTTATTTAATAGACTTTAACTGGAAATAGTGCATGACTTACTCTGTGGAACATGACACATTTTGGAAGACCTAACTGGGTCCTATCACTGTTTAGAAATGTCACATGAAGAAACGGTGGCCCTGAGATTGTCGTTCAAAAAGAGGTCAAGAATTCCTCAGTAAAAGCATTTTCTTGTCATATCTGCTTAGAGGCAGATTTAGGCAGATTTCCTGGGATACCAAATGAAACTCAATTTTCAGGGTTCCTTACACATTTCCCTAGTTATTGTCAGATAAGCCCTACTAATGGATTTACTTTAAAGAGTGAATCCAAAAGTGCATAAGCCTCATGCATCACAAAAGCAGACTCTACCTCTGTGCCTATTCATGAGGTGAAGAGTGTGTGGGATTGTGTAAAACATGTTATTTACCATGTGAGAGAATTCTGTCCCAACCCCCAATTTAGTAAGATAATCCTTTCAAATTCATTTTAACCTGCTGAGCCTTAGTTTCTCTATTTGAGAAATAATCCTGATCAGATCATTAAACTATCTTATCCAATTCTCTCTTATTTATATGGTAGATACCTGAGATAACATTCTCATAATCAAAAATCCAGATTCAGAAGTAATAATTGACAAAATTAGATGTCAATAAGTGTTGAGAATTCATGCTGTTAAACATATCATTTTCCTACCATTCAAGGCAGCAAGAGAAATCCCTAGGAACCCTCCCTAACTTAAGTATCTGTTCTTCCTACAGATGAATTAGCACAGCCCTGCTCTAGTGAGAAGTGTTCTTTAGTCTTGGATTGCACTGGCTTGACCTTTTTTGACTATTCTGGAGTATCTATGCTTGTCGAGGTATGTATACAGACTGGGTTTAGAGTGAATCACCCCTTCTCTTTAGTAGTAGACGTTTCCATCAGCCATTCTCTCCATTCCAGAGTCTAAGCTTGCCTCCTTTCCCATAGGGATGTAGGACTTGGGGCCTCAGACTACTATAGGTTTGTTCACAGCAAATCTCATCTACCTAATGCTTCCTTGTCTACTTCTGTCTGTTCGGTCTAATGAAGTTGCTACAGCAACTTGGGTTCCCTCCTCACGGTGGCTTGCAGGCCTGCTTTGTGGCAGAAAGCTGAGCTTCTGGTAGGGATCCACTTATTTGTCTTTCTATCAGGGTACTACTCAGTGCTGTGCTGCCTGAGACCTAGTAGACACTAGGTTTGCTTATTTCTGATGGATAGGACACTATTGGATTACATATTTCCATGGTCAGAAGTAGAAACTGAACATTGATTTTTAAAGAGTTCTGATTAGCAACGTTGATCTTGTATCACTTTGTAGACTTTCTTCTCTTTTCTTCTCTTTTTTCTCTCTTTCTTTCTCTTCTCTCCTTTCTTTCTTTCTTTTTTTCTTTCGTTTTCTTTCTTTCTCCTTCCTTCCTTCCTTCCTCTCTCTCTCTCTTTCTTTCTTTCTCTTCCTCCCTCCCTTTCTTTCTTTCTTTCCCTTTCTTTCTCTTTCTCTCTCACTTTTTTGTTTTCTTTTTGGTGCATACTCTACTTCCTTTGTGGTTACCATCAGAGTTTCAGCTTACTTCTTAGAACTCTAGCACTAATTTATACCAGCTTAATTTCAGCTACAAACAAAAATTGTTACTCTTAATCACCTTTACCCACATACTCCTTCAGTTGTTGATGTCACAAAATCCATCTTTATGTATTATATGTCCAAAAACCAGACCAATCGCTTTTGTACATTAGTCTCATAAACAATAGAAATTAAGTTATAAACCAGTTGTAATAATAGTTATCCATATATTACCCTTTACCAGATATCTTTATTTCTGCAGATGCCTTTCATTACTATCTAGTATACCTTCTAAAAGCTTTTTATTTGCATATATTAATTGTACACAGAGAATTTCTTTGTGCTGCTTTCATACATGCATTCAGTGTACTCCAGTCAAAAGTACAAGAGGAGTTTGTGTTTTAGCAATAGCAGATACCTAGAAAACAAAATAATAATATACAAATAAAAGCTTTACTTCAGATCTTAAATCTAGTGGCCATTTTTGGAAAGTTACACCTTTTTATTTTGTTGTTGTTTACTATAAAACTTTTGCACAATTGAGTACATGCATGATTCAGTATGAATATTTAATTTTTTTGCAACTAAACCTGGATTGTAAGCATAGTATCTCTTCCATTTTTTTGTGCTTTGTGCTGCCAAGATCTTGAAGAGTACTCCAATTTATCTGGGTACTCATCGAAAATGCACTCTTCTAAAACTTGGTTCTGACCTAGCATTTTCAATTTAAACACTCAGGTGTTTCTAAGCCAGGTGGATTAAGGATCATTTTTGGAGACAGTGCACTAGGATTGCACTTTTACAGAGAAAGGTTAGTAGGTTTATTTTGGCTCAATTGTATTTTAAATTTGTTGTTGAAATTGTTAGCTACTCTATCTAGAATTTTTTTTTCAAAACATGACATAGGGTAAAAAGGAGGAAATGGCTACTCTCTCTACTTGAGCTGGGTTCTAAAGTTGATGGTGCAGAGAAATCCCAGCAATATAAGCACTGGGTCTGCGGAGAAAGGGCTTCCCTTTTCCTCCCACATAGAAGTGGTTTTAAAACTCCCTACAGTGAAATGAGTGAATGAGGCAACTGATGAGCTTAAAAACCTCGTAGAAAAATGACATCTGCCCCTAGTTAAGAGTTTGTTTTTTAAACAGGTATACAAAACTAGCAGCAGTTTACCTCAGTCTTTTTCCCCTTTTTCCTTTTTAATTTCTCACTGCTGTTTGATTTATTTCATCCTGGTTTAGTACTATTTTGATATATGCTAACAACATAGGCTTTGAAGATAGATGAATCTTTTAATAACTGTCTATTTGTGAGATCTAAGCTCAAGTATTGGTTTGCTTTTCGATGAACTAGAAGTGGAAATACTGAATCTGTCATGTTATTGTGAGGCTTAGAGATAATATACTATACATAAAGTACCTGCAAACCTATCTGACAGTTAGTCAGTACTCAGTAAGTATTCTATTACTGTTAGCCTCAATTTAAAAAAGCCATGTTTCTAAAAGTAAAGTAATTGTAACTAATATTGGTTCTTAGCCCAGCCATCTTGAAAGTACAGGGCAAAAAGCCACAGGGACTTTTCAGCCATCCATACCTTCCTGTTTTCTACCAACACTCCCTGGGTTGTGTGTTCAGTCTCTTTATAAAGAATATTCTTCCCAGAGTTGCAGTAGGGTGAAGTGACTGCTATTTATTATTTCAGTTGGGAATCTGGAGAAGCCGATGAACTAAAGAGGTCAATGAACTGGAGATTATGTTTATCCACATCAACAAGCCACCCAGAGCAATATGTTTGTGCTTCATTGAGCTCAAAGAAAAGTCCAACACTGGGAGGTCACCTTGAGTTAATCACTGTTACTTATAAAAAAAACAGGAGCCACTTATGCAATGTCAAAGTCTGAGTTTATATATATTTCATATTTTGTTTGTTCATTTATGTTCACATTGATGTAACTATCTTCTACAATTCTCACAGAGATGAAACTGTTTACCTTTAGAATAGAAATAAGAGAAATTGGATGGATCAATTATATGGTTAGAATTATTACAGATGTAGCTCCTATATTTCATCTGCACAACACTTTGTTATTATACAACAAAATTCATCCATCCTATTGTAACTATAACTCTTAGATTTACTTTCAGTGAATACCACAGGCTGACATTGGTCTGGGTGAATTTGAGATCGATGCCTTCCTTAAGTTTCTTCTCCTTATATTTTCTAGAACTTAAAGAGGCAAAAAAGTGAGTTCTTATCTCTCATTTTGATAGATTAGACTTGATAGACTCTAAAAATGGAAACTGAGTGGTGAAAATTGGCTCGCATCATTTAGAATCCAATGTCCTAGCGATGCCTGGGATCAAGAGACTGAATAGTCTCAAATTCTTATTATAAAACATTAAAGTCAGCAGTAGGTCAAGAGACACCAACACTTTCCTAAGTGGGTTGTTCATTGACTTCTAATGAAAACTTGACCTCTGTTTTAGCTCATGTCTTTGGGGAAAGGAAGGTGATGTTTTGAGTTTTCCTGCATGAATTAGAAAACGTAAGCAGCCAAACTCAGTCTCAGCATAGGTGGATGCCTCATTGCATCCACCTTAATCAGTTAGATTATGTCCAACTGTGTAACAATACCTCCCTCTGGTGGTTTGAATTCAAAGCATGGAATTTCTTTCTGAAGACTTGTTCCTTTGTCAGCTGGTCTGAATTAATCCAGAGTATATTATTTTAATTCTTCCAGGTTTACATGAATTGCAAGGGCAGGAATGTGGATGCATCACTAGCCAATTGCACAGGTAAGAGAGTCTCCGTCCCTGACAGCAAATGTGATCTTCTGCTACTCTTCATCTTTGTGTTACTTGCATTCTCTTATAGCCTCCTTGATAAAAGCAATGACGTACTGTGGAAACCTGGATTCCGAGAAACCAATTTTTTTTGACTCAGTATCTGCAGCCATCAGTAACATCTACTCAAATAAGGTGAGTTGATCAAGGTAGCTTGTAAGAGTTGTATGGAAAATAAGACTTTAAAATCAAGGGATTTGCATTTTTAATATTCTATTTCTACCTCTCTGGCATTTAAAAACTCCAAATCTCCTCTTTTCTCCACTTCAGTTCTTTACTATGAATAAAGAAACTGTCTTCCATTAGGCCAGTTATGAGTAAGTACTTAATACATTTGGCTGTTCTCACAAGGTCACTGCTGAGAGATTCAACAATCACCTATCAAGAGCTGTACTTTGCTGCTGCTCCCAGGATACAACTCATCGCTCTCAAATGTAAAGGGGGGAGGAAACCCCTATAAATGTGGAATTTTATGCTTTTATCTCAGCTCAGATATCCTTTCCTCTAGATTTACTTGGTTTTTTATTAATAAGGTTTTTTATTGTGAAAATACCCTACAGAGGGGTTACAATTACATGAGCAGGGTAATGAGTACATTTCTTATCAAGCATTGTTGCCTCCTCCTTTGTTTCCCCTTCCCATCCCTGCCCTCCCATCTCTCCCCTGCCTCATTTACCTTGATTTCCATCTTTGGAAACATTATTTGCAGAGTAGAGCTCACCTTGTGCGAAGTGTGGAGTTCACACCTTCCAAATGCTCCCAGGGCTGTAAGTTCCAGAACATTTTCTTTGACTTGAATCATTTAGCATTTCCCCATCCCTAGAACAACATTTGATGCCTCCCAGGATCACCCCTATTCTATTCAGTGAGAATAGGATGTATTTACCAAGCAATAATAATAATACCACTATTATTATTGTAATTACTATTGTTGTTATTATTACATATCTAACACTTATTGAGTGCTCACTGTGTTCTGAGGATATTCTAACAGCATTATTACATTAACTAGCCAAACTTGCCACTGCCTTAAGCAGAAGACACTATTATTCAGACCGTTTTTAGAAATGAGAAAACCAAAGCTGAAGGTAGTGTGCCATTTGGGCCAGTTTAAAAATCAGTGATGTGATCTTGGACCTGTAGTTTTAAGTCACTCTATCTGCTCTGATGCTTCATGAATTTTCTTTCTTTCTTTCTTTCTTTCTTTCTTTCTTTCTTTCTTTCTTTCTTTCTTTCTTTCTTTCTTTCTTTCTTTCTTTCTTTCTTTCTTTCTTTTCTTTCTTTCTTTCCTCTTCCTCTCTCTCTCTCTCTCTCTCTCTCTCTCTCTCTCTCTCTCTCTCTCTTTCTCTCTGCTGTCACTATATCACAGCTCCACTTCTGGCTCTTTGGTAGTTTATTGGAGATAAGAATCTAATGGACTTGCCTGTCCAGGCTGGCTTTGAACTATTATCCTCAGATCTCAGCGTCCTGTAACCCTAGGTGAGAGCAATCAGTGCCCAGTTGGATCATCCATTTTCCTAGCATGGTGGGACCACATCTGTTGTGTTTACTTCTGCACTGATTTAAGAGTTGAGTAAAAAACACATGCTTTTTTTTCCTCTCTTCTTTCAGAATTTGAACAAGCTCAGTGACCACAGTGAAGTGTGAGGTCCACCTATTGCTGTCTGGATCTTGCTCTGAAGAAGGACCATATGCTGGCATTTTGCACAATATTTTTTGTACAGACCCTGCACATGACCTCTGCTACAATAAGAATGATGTGACTTACTAACTGCATTGCCACTGGTCAAGAATTGTCAACATTTTTTTTCCTAATCCTTTTTAGTAAGCAGATTCATCTTGTTATATAGAAAGAAATGCACATGCATTTAGCTATAGCAAATTAAGAACAGACATGATTTTTTTCTTTATCACAGTATTGTATATTATTTTATAATTCTTTTGTTGTAAGCTGATTTTTAAAACTGATTTTTAAAACCTTTATCATGAGTGATTTGAAATATTTACAAGCCATTTGTCAATACAATGCACATGATATTCACAGAAATAAAGCACCAGAATAAATGGTAAACTATAATTCATCTATCTTCATATTTTCAACAGATTCACCTTGAAGCACTGAAAAATGTCTTCATATTAGTAAGAAAACAGTAGTAGCTTAATAAAACCAAGATTTTAACGTTGGTCTCCTTTGTTGTAAATATTAGAAAATGGTTAGGCCAGTTTGCTCTAATTTCCACATTCCCCATCTCATAATTGGCTCCATTTTCTACTTTGATTTTATTGGAGCCAGAAAATATGGAAATTATATACCCTGCAATTTTTTCGCAAATATGATTTTTAGATGAGAAAATACCACTAAATCGAGTAGCCTTGTATACTTTTTTACTGTAAGAATTTAGGACTTTATTTCAGAGACAGAATTAACAAGAGAGCTTAGATGTGAATATCAGTAAACTCACCCATCCAACAAGATAAGTAACAAACTCTACTGGCTTCTGTATAAGTTATTGTTTGCATGCTTGGATATGTATTTCCAATTGCACACAAATACACAGACTCATACTTTTATCTAACAAATTGTTTTACCCAGGAAAGAAAAAATATTTTTATAAATAGACTCATAATTATTCTGTAGCCTTAATAATGTTTTTAACTCCCCTAGAAATTGCCAATATAAGAAATAGTCAGATACTTTAAACTGAGATTGATAAACAAATTGAAAATAACATTAATAGATTGGTTGTTTAATGGCTTTCACAGGCATCTGTTAAGAAGAAATCTCAGGGCTTGTGTGGATGAAAGCAATGCAGAACAAATGTGCAGTAAACATTCACATGGCCCTTAATTTTGACACTAAATCCTTGGTAGGACAATGTAATGGAATTAAGGAACAGTAAATGTTTTATTTTTTCCCAGAAATTATCTAATCATTTTAATTATTATTGAAATGAACACAAAGGATAATCTTAGATTCTTCATCACCAATAGAAATTAATATGAGCAAGAGTGGCTCACATTCTCATCAAATACTCTTTCAGGGAAAGTTGGATATAATATACTCTGCTTCGTCCAATTAAATTATTGCAATGGTGGATGGTAGTAATATTCACCATCCCTAATCCATTGGTCACTGGCAAATAAACATGAGTCAAAGAAAGTCAAGAAAAGAAAATATATTTTGATATGTGTAAATTGATATTCTGCCATGCAATTTTGGCCTATAATTGAATTCATGTGTTGCAGACCATTTTGTAATTTGTTAGAGATTATGGGGCATTCATGCTGTTAAAATCATGGTAGTTAATCAAGGGATAGTTTGTTCTATTTTATTGTTAATGCTGACAAAATGGTGGCTGAGCAGTTGCATTTGAATGCATTTCAACGCTTAGAGCTCAAGTTTAGTGGGTAACATTTGAAAGTAACCTGGTGTCAGATGTTAACATTTTATTTAAGAGAAGGAAAACCAAAGCACCCACTATATGAAATCTTGTTTTGGTAGCTTCTCCCTGAAATCAAGGCCGCAATGAATGTTGGCATGAAGAAAGGATCTTTAATTAAGTCCTGAGTCCAAAAATTGAACATAAGATTGAGACTCACAAGATTTTAAAACAATTGTTTATTTTAAAACAAAACAACACAGAAATGAAAATATGGATCAATTGTTGGAATATTTCCAGAATCACACTTAATTTTTTTGATAAGAACATTTTGTTTATATCTATATCTATCTATCTACACAAACACATACACACACAGCCATACACAATAAAATATTTCTATTTTACCAGTTATAATAGAATAAAATTAGAAAAAAACCTGATTTGAGTGTTAAAGATTCAACAGCATGCTGGATACAAATTAAGCATAAAACATGTAAGCAGGAAAAGACTGTTAACATCACACTTATGCAAATTAAGTGCTCTTAAATTTTGCCATTTGTCTTTCACTTTAAAGGTTATTTGCCCTGGATTATATAATTTAAGTTTAGCTGAAAATACTTTGCAGTAATTTATTTGACAGATCTCTATAAATGTGGAATGTCAACAGGATAGAGATCTTTCTTTTTTAATGAAAACCTCAATGTGTTAATATCTTGGGTGGATAATGCTCAACATTTAGTGGGTAACAAAATCCTTTGGTATGTTGTTGGACACATATATGTCTTAGAAATGCACATGCTGTGTTCTGTGGGGGAATGATGTAATTCAAGATATCATATGCTTTTTGGCAGTGAGTTTGATGCTAGGTTTCAAATAGAGAGTTAAATGGTGCTTTCACAATCTAAAGATTTGGTTAGCTAAAAATCATGTCGTTTAATACTGTGCACTTATTTTTTAAAATATTTTTCAATACATTTGATTACCTTTTTAAAAAAGCCTTTGTACTAACTCAATATGTAACAACCAATTTACATAGAAATAAATTGAAACATGATAACCATTATACTTAAACAGATTTGTGTTCATGATTTCAGAGTATTTACTTTTCTACAAGGCAAAAAATATGTTTTGCATTCTTGGACTGGCTGGAGTATTACATGTTGGAAAATGTCTGCAAATATCCGTATTTCTGACAGGTTTTTCCTTACAAAATTTTAACCAAAGCCAGTGAGGTACTGTCCATATGGGTACCTTTTGCTATAAGACATTGTCTAAATAATGTCACATACAAGGTCTCAGTCATTTTTAATTTTAATACAGATTTTTTTTACTTCTTCATTATATGCTGTTTTATTTTTATCTTGCCTGAAATGCTAGATTGAATTCAATATTTAAAAGCTAAAGTTCAAAAGGAAATGTAGGAGATGGAACAAAGAATAAAACAGGAAAAAAAATCCTTGTCTTCATGGAGTTTATATTCTAACCAGAGAAGACAGAAAATAAACAATAAATTTAAAACACATTGGTTGTAAGTCAAATGTTAATATATGCCAAGAGGAAGTATAAATTAAGGAAAGATAATTAGAAGTTTGGTGGAGGAAAAGGCTTGCATCCCTAGATTGGCCAGAAGATAACTAGTGAGGATGTGTGAGCTCTGCAATTCCCATGCATTAGTCTGGAGCCCTGGCCTTCAGACAGTGAATTAAACTACATTAATTCCTTTTTGTCCATCTTGGGGAAGTCCAAGATGAAGGATGCTAATAAATGTGTTTTCTGTTATGTATTATCTTCCTGGTTATGTGTTTTGGTTTTTGGTTTTTTGGGGTTGGTTATGGGGCTTGAACTCTGGGCCTGGGCGCTGTTCCTCAGCTCTTCGGCTCAAGGGTAGTATTCTATCACTTGAGCCACAGCACCACTTCCAGTTCCTCCTGGTTGTGTAGATGACACTTTCTCAATATGCCTAGTGGAGAGAGAGGAAAAAAAGCACTATGCTGTCTTTCCCTCTCAGGACATTAATCTTTTTTTTTTTTTTTTTTTTTTTGTCTGTCGTGGGGCTTGAACTCTGGGCTTGGGTGCTGTCCCTCAGCTCTTCAGCTCAAGGCAAGCGCTCTACCACTTGAGCTACATCACCACTTCCGGTTTTGTGGTGGTTTATTGGAGATAGGAGTCTCACAGTCTCTCCTGCCCAGGCTGGCTTTGAACCACGATCCTCAGATCTCAGCCTCCTGAGTAGCTAGGATTACAGGCGTGAGCCACCAGCGCCCGGCTAGGACATTAATCTTATGACATCAAAGACTCCCCTTCATGACCTCACTCATCCTCCATTACAACCTTATTAGCCTGATCTCCAAATAGTGATATTGGAGGCTGGGGTTTCAACACATGAGTTTTGTTGGGACATAATTTAGTCCACGATGGAAAGGTTTACATTATAATCTTTAGACATTACAATAGTTCCTTTTTAATGTCTTGAACATATAGTCTTAATAAAATTTAATCATATCTATTACATGTCACACGTTTGCATGAGAAATAGAATCATTCCTGAATGGCTTGGTTAAAACTTTCTGCTACTAGACACAGTAAATTGGATTAGGCCATGAAACTAGGTGAAGTGGACAGGAAGGGGTTTGGAATGTACCAGTGGTTGTGTGAAAGCAAGACCTGTTGTATCCTGTGATGCTTCTTAATGATTAGCCATCTGTTCAAGGAAATAGAATTGAATAGTAAGTGCTTGCTAGTGCTATCCTATTGGTTCTAATAAAAATAACAACATAGACATGGTTAAATTTCATCAGCTATCATAAAGATAGCTCCAGAGTTGTCTTGCTGCTAAGGTTTTACTTTGGGCTTTACTTGTTTGTTTGTTTGTTACAGAGAAGAATACTTGGTTACTACAACTTGGTTAAGCCCTCTGAAATACTCTCTTCCAAAGTACTTACTTTGAAAATTCTTATTGTTTAAATTAATTCAGCAACAGGCAGTTTATTTTGGTCAGACTTCTTCACTTTCTGTCATAAATTATAATAATAAAATTTCTCTGCAGTAAACATAGGAAGCTTTTCAGTGCACACATGTAGACACACACATGTAAACACACATATTTGCTTTCTATCATTTTTCCACATTTAGAAATTGGATAATAAATGTATACTTGACAACAAGGGTTGTTACATTAAAAAAAAAATGATTCAGTCAGATGCCAGTGGCACATGCCTGTAATCCTAGCTATTCAGAGGCTGAAACTTGAGGATTGCCATTCAAAGCCAGCCCAGGCAGGCAAGTCCATGAGACTATTATTTCCAATTAAACACCAGAAAACTGGAAGTGGAGCTGTGGCTCAAAGAGGTAGAGTACTAGCCCTGAGCTGAAGAGCTGAGGGACAGTGCCCATATTCTGAGTTCAAGCCCCAGGATCCACACACACACACACACACACACACACAGACATACAAACACCATTCAATAATAAAGTCAGGCTAAGGTGGCTCTGCCCTGTAATTCTAGCTACTCAGCAGGAGGAGGGCTGAGGATTCTGGCTCCAGGAGGAAAGGCCATAAAACTCTTAGCTTCAATTAACAAGTAAAAAGAAAAGCTGGAGATAGAGCTATGGCTCCAGTGGTATAACACTAGCCTTTAGTAAAAAAAACAATAGCTAGGCTTAGAGTTCAAGACCCAGTACTGGCACATGTACACACATTACAAAAAAAGAAAAAGAAAGAAAAGGCGCTAATGAAATGAATGAAAATAAAACTAGAATTTCACCTTTAGTTCTATTGCTTCTAGAGCTGCTCTTTTAAAATTTCTTAGCTGTCAAGCAAGTTCTGTTCTGGTGTTATGAATTAACAAAGATAGGGAAGATAGAAGCATTTTTTCATTGACATGTGTTGTCTAAATTCAATTTCTGTATTTCATACCCTATTTATATCTTTCCTTACACATTAATTTATGTTCCCACAGGCTCTGTATTTTAGAATTTATAGACGAAGCCTATTGTGTATCTAAGGCTAATGAAGCTTTTAGAGAGTGCAGGGAAGAGGGATGTGGCTACAGCACTTGACTACTAAATGGTTTTGAACATGAGCAGGATTACATCAAGTCTTTCAGGAGGAAATTGGTTGGGATGATTGATCCTTTGGTGGTATGATTTCAAGAGTATCTAAAGGACTTACAGGAAACTACAGGAACAAAGCATACAAGAAGTTTTGGTGGGGAACAATGGTAAAAAGAAATTGTCAGGAGCTGGGCTGGGGTTTTGAGGGAACACAGAGGGATGAGGGAGCCAGATGGGCCATGTGACGTGGATATTTCTGAATGGGTCAGGTTGTTCGCTTACACCCATTCCAGTGAAGCCAAGCACAGCTCTTCCCACATAGCAGCTTTTCCTGGAGATTGGACCCATGCCTTTTGCTTTGGCTCTGGTACTAAAATTTGAGAATAGCAGTTTGACTGCCAAGATGAAATTGAAATACAACTCTTATTGCATGGAAGCCTTTCTTTTTTGTTTTTTTTTCAATTTCCTCTTTGTGCACTACAATGAGAATATTGAAGTATAGGGATCTAACTTAACAGAGATTTAGTTAATTCAAATGAATCAATTGGCAATGACTCTTTCTTTTAAAATATGATTCTTATAATATCTATACCAGAATTGCCATGGGCAGTTGATTAGTACATAGATCCATTGAAATCAGATTTCTATGGAATGAGCCTGGGAATATAAAAGGGATTTTTCAATCAGTCATGTTCTTTTTTTTTGGGGGGGGGGTCCGGTCGTGGGGCCTGAACTCTAGGCCTGGGTGCTGTCCCTCAGCTCTTCAGCTCAAGGCTAGTACTCTACCATTTGAGCCACAGCGCCACTTCTGGCTTTTTTCTTTTTGCTTATGTGGTACTAAGGAATCGAACCCAGGGCCTCAGGCATGCAAGGCAAGCGCTCTATCACTGAGCCACCTTCCCAGCCCCTCAATCAGTCATGTTCTATACTAACATTTAGGATCACAGGTACAAAGAGTTTCTTTAGTTTGCTAATTTGTAAGAAGCCCTATACTCAAATTCTTAAATGCCTCCATTTTACCACCTGCTGTGTTTTGGCTTCTGTATTAGTCCTATAATGTGGCTATACAGTATGCCTATAGTGTTGTTTTTAGGTAGCCTGAATTGGGTGTGTAGCTATATCACACTGCAGAGTACCATATTAGAGTCACCGTAGCTTTAGCTAGATATATTTATCAGGGCCAGAAAGTGTCTGAAACATTCTGTCCCTATTTCTATATTCTTGGATGGATTTTCAATAGTTTTCCTAAGACTTTAGTTTGTATTTAATGTATTTCATTATGAGAAAGTCAAATCTCTTTCTTGTTTCACCAATTTATTCTGTTCCCAACAGATATTGATATAGTCACATAAGATAATGATCCCATCCTCCAGGCTGCTTCTCACACATATCCATTAGAAGCACATTGTAAAAGAGAGAATGCTATTTTCCTTGTAGCCTAAGGCTACACACATAATTATTTTCTTTCACCACCTTCATTGAAATTCTCCCTGTGATGCTCCCAGAGTGAATTATAGTCAAACCTTTTATTCTGCACATATGGAGCTGGAGAAAGAGCTAGTGCCAGCAATCTTACTCAGCTACTTTCAGTTTGAGGATTGAGGCTGATGTAAACTATACAACTGGAGAGAAAATTATATTCAATTATGAATCACTGCCAGATGTGTGAATGTGTGTCTTCAGGTTTCATTTTCTGGAATATGCTTACTGTAGTGTGTTTCTTATCTACTTTTAGAGTGATTCTCTTTCTATGGATGGTGGATTTAAGTGTATCAAATGCCTAGCAGATCCAAAAATAATAAAAATAAATGCTCAAGCTCCATATCAAATGCGGAAGGAAGTCAGGAGTTATTACCTAGTGAATGTTATGTGACAGTGTTCAGCAGTCCAAGTCTCTGAGGAGCTGCAAGGGGACCTCAATCTCCTTATGTCATGCTTGTTCAAGAAAGCCATTCAGGAAAATCACTCAGGAAAACCATCCAAGTTAATGGCATTTTAAGAAGTAGGGGCAAAATAAA